CTCACCGGCGTTGGACGAAAACAAGAGCTCTGTTTTCATCTCTCGATTCTTCAACGCGATCTGGAATAATAAATGTTCAATATTAAAAACAGTTAATCAGTATTGCATTACAGTGGCATTAATCGAAATTTAATTACCTCGATGTCGTCGGCCTTTCGCAGCGCGTCGATCCTCCATGAGTCCTCGCACCACACCAAAAAAGCACTCACAACACCAAAAAAGCACTCACAACACCAAAAAAACGCCCCGAGGGCTACTTCACGCTTATTATGAATCGCGGGGGCCTCCGTAACTCAGATCCATTCACCTTTCTCTGAAATTTTCATTATTGCGTGAATGGTGAATTTTTTTTGGAAATTTTCCAAGTGCCATTTGGTCAAAAAGTGAAAAAAATTAAAAATCACGCCCCGAGGGCTAGTTCACGCTTATTATGAATCGCGGGGGCCTCCGTAACTCAGATCCATTCACCTTTTCTTGGAATTTTCATTATTGCGTGAATGGTAAATTTTTTTGAAATTTTCCAAGTGCCATTTGGTCAAAAAATGAAAAAATTAAAAATAACGTCCCGAGGGCTAACTCACCCTTATTAGGAATCGCCGGGCGATGTGCAGACACCCCAGCATTGCGTGTGGCGCCTTCCGTCGTACGGGGTAAGGTACTGCGATGCCAGTGGGGTCAGTCAAACCCCCAGAACTGAGCCTCTACTTCAGTCAATTCTCTTTGGATTTGAATAGAGAGCTCTGTTGAATTTCTGGTATAGGATAACAGGTGTTTAGTATCCTTAGCAACCACGAATGACAACTCAATCGTATAACCTTTTGAAATTTTTTATTCCACTTTGACGACTGTTATATCGAGTAAGAAATGGGAATGCAATAAACCCGTTGATGTTTACGTTCGGAGTAATCTCTGGTTTCTTAAAGTGTTTCACTATCAGTATTGTTCAGGCGCGTAATGTTTACGGTGTGTTCCACAATCCAAATCGTCGGATATTTTACCTGAAATTAAACAATAATGATCGAGCAGTTCTCTTATATAATAAAGAAAATAATACAATTGATATGCGATCAATTAGTGTCCCTGAAGATTATCAAGGGAGAGGTCTAGCAAGAATTCTAGCTGAGGTTATTTTCTCATTTTCTTATTCGCTCATTTTGTCAAAAATATTTTTTTTTATTGTTCAAACTCGAGTAGATTATTTATTTTTCTGCCTACATGCGCCGAAAGTGAGCATTCTAACCTCACTTCGTTCGGTTAGAAACGTCACTTTCGCCGCATATTAACTGAAAAATGGTATGAAACCCTCGGGAGGATAATCAGACAAGCATTTCCCACGTGCATACCACCCTCGCCTTCGGCTCGGGTGGTAATTTTGCACGTGGGAAGGACTTGTCTCCTTTTCCTCCCTAGGTGAGCAATATACTAATGTTTTTTTGCAGGCAGCCCTGACGTATGCAATTGTCAATGACTACAGAATAATTCTTACCTGCAAGTACATGCAGAAATTCTACCTCTCAACAAAAACCCGTGATCTGGAGGAACGTGTGATTGGTCCATACCATCTGCTCTCGAAGAAATAAATTAGTGATCCTATCCTACTCTACAAAGGATAAACATCGAGACTATCGATATCTCGAAACTCTGTCACGCTTATTTCTCATTGGTTCAGTCGTTTGAGGCGGCTAATTTGAATTTGAAACTCACTTAAATTAACAATTTTTAATCACGATTTTTATAATTACAGCGCGCTGTAGCGCGCGTTCGTTCTCGTTCTAAAAAAAAAGAAGAAAAAAACCAAAACAATGGAGAAGCTGGACGAATTAGATTACCAAACCCTGATCACGTGGTACTGTCACCAGAGATATTACACCCAAATGCTGCGCCAGGCGAAGGAATCGGTGGCTTCATTTCCCTTGAGTTCACCGCTCAAGATTCTGCTGTCCCTAAGTTACCTCCTGACAAATCGTCCCCAGGAGGCATCCCAGCAGGTGTCAGAACTAATCGGTCCAGAGGAGACAACTCTACCCTGCCTGATCCTCCAGTCATTCGCCTATCGTCTGAGCATCAACAAGAATCGATCCCAAATTGACTCTCGAATTCGTGATGAACGTAGAAAAGCAACAGCAGGTTCACTAACCCTGGCAGCAACAGTTCTCTATCTGCTGAAAAAGCCTGAAAAGGCCAGGGAATACGCAGAGAAAGCTTTTAAAATTTTGCCCCATGACGTGGACGTTCTCCTGATAAATTCTCAGATCGACCTGTTCCTCTCAAAATCCCACAACTATCTTTCAGGCATTTCAAAGGACCACAGCAGACGTTTGGGAGTTCTCTTAGCGACTTCTAGGTGGCATGAGGCCACTGGATCCCACGAGGACGCTATTCTCATTCTAAATGCGCTGATAGTTCGTTACTCCACTCTCACCATTCCCCTTATTGAGAAAATGTCGAATCAGCTAGCGATGAAAGAATGGGATCAGGTGCTCGCAACGTCCAGCAGAATCCTCTCCCTGGATTCCAACGATCTCGATGCAATTAAAGCAAAAGCTGTTGTGGCAATCTGCAAAGATGGGGATTATCCCTCGGCCCTGAAGATCCTTCAGCTCTTCTTCAGGAATCTCATCCTCGTTGAGCCGAAAAATGTTGAGCTCCTCGTGAAGAACATTCAACTGTTCTCACGGATAACAAACAGTGACAGGGAAATTCTTTTGGAACTGTCTAGAATAACTGAGAAATTCATCCAGCAGAATGAAAACTCTAGTGAACTAATGATCGAATTGGGAAATATTTATCTCCTGATGAAGAGAATTAAAGAGTCTGAGCACTGGTATAGGAGTGCAGTGAGGATCGACGAGTCGTCGTTCCCCGCTCTGATGGGCCTTGCCCACTGTCAGGTCCTAGAAACGACTCCGGGATCCTCTGAGCTAGCCAGACAGCAGCTGAATTTTCTCATGGAGGTCCAGTCTAACACACTGGACCCAAAACTCTACTTCATGTCAGCTAAACTCAGCTCGAACGATCCCACGAATGCCCTCAAGTACCTGGACATGGCAATCGAGTTGATCCTCAAGAATTGCTCGAATATGCCCTATGGATATTACTACCTGCTCGAACTCAATCCAGTGTTCTCCCTGGAGATCATTACTGACCACCTATGCAACTCCCCATCATCTGGAGCCCCTCATGTCCTGGTCCAGCAAACCACAGAGGACAAACCGAGTCTTGTCCTCCTGAAGATGATCTGCGAGGCGTGCGGTGGATGCTCTGAGGCTTTTTTGCTCCTTGCCAGGGCGAGAATGCAGTCTGGGGATTTGGAGGGTGCTCTGGATACCTTGAAGCGACTTTTACAAAATGATCCATCAATTGCCCCTGCACATTTGCTAATGGCACAGATCCTGACTCGTCAGGGCAACTACCAGGCGGCCTCCCAGAGTCTTGAGGTGGGGCTAAGCTATAATTTCAAGGTAAGGGACGATCCAATATACCACTTGACCTCTGGAATCGTCGAGAGAGAGAACGGCGACGTGAACAACTCTATCACGAGCCTGAGAACAGCCATGTCGCTAATGGACGCCAGAGTGAAGTCAGAGGACACGAGCACTCCCCTGATATCTGTATCCCTGTCAGACCGAGCAACTCTTTACCTCGAGTTGATATCAGCTTACACTCAGCTGATTAAATTCGATGAGGCGTCAGCTCTGATGGATGAAGCCAAGAGACTCTTCTCCAATACTATTGAAGAGGGCAGAGTGACAATAGCCAATGCCGAGCTGTCACTGTTTATGGATGACGTAGAGAGAGCGATCGTTTATCTAAATGAAATCAAGCCTGAGGAGGTGTACTATCTCGAGGCCCACACCAGACTCGCTGAAATTCATTTGCATCATAGGAAGGATCGTCAGGCCTTTGCCAGGTGTTTTCGAGAGTTGGTGGAGCACTGTCCAGGATCAAAGACGTACAGCATGCTGGGGGACGCCTACATGGCGATTCAGGAGCCTGACAGGGCAATTGAGGCTTACGAGCAATCTCTCAAGAATTCACATGGGGACAGGGTGCTTGCCAGCAAGATGGGAAAGGCCCTGGTGAAGACTCATCAGTACTCCAGGGCTGTTGATTATTACAAAGAGGTCGTGAGTATCAAGGAGTGTGGTGAGCTAAAGCTCGACATGGCTGACCTCTTCATGAGGCTCAGGCAGTTCGATAATGCTGAAGGTGTCCTTGTTCAGGAGCTTCAGGACGCCAGGGGTGCCACTGACTATGAGCACCTGGAGAACAGGGGACGACAACTCCTGCTGCTTGCCAAAGTGAGGGAGAGATCTGGAAATTTACAGATGGCACTGTTAACCCTCAGGGAGGCCAAAGAGAATCAGGTGAGGTGTATTCAGAGGAAGTCTGTTAATTCATCAGCAATTAATCATAAGCAAATGCTCGCCGAGGTTTGCCTGACCATGGCTGATCATGCGACTATTGTCAGGGATTGGGAGCAGGCGATAACGCATTATAAGGAGGCACTCCAGCACAAACCAACAGACATTAAAGCCCTTCTGTCTCTGGCTAAGCTCTACATGCAGGTGAATGATCTTGACAAATGCGCACAGAGTTGCACTGCATTATTTACGGCTGATCCTAATAATGAAGCTGCCTCTGTTATGATGGCGGATTTGGCATTTAGAAAAGTTGATTTTAGCACAGCTGCATTTCACTTTAAGCAGTTGTTGATGAGAAGACCAACTTATTGGACAGCTCTGGCAAGACTCATTGAGGTCTCCAGGAGAACAGGAAAGATCGAGGACCTTGATGAGTGGTTGGGGAGGGCAGAGGCTGCAGCTACAGGTGAAGGCGCCAATAGGGACGCTGGCTTTCATTATTGTGCAGGACTTCTTGATTGGAGAACTGGAAAACTTAATTCAGCCCTGAGAAATTTCAATGCAGCCAGAAGAGATTCAGAATGGGGACAGCAGGCAATTTACAACATGATTGAGATATGTCTGGGCCCAAACGACGACTCTGCTCTCTCCAGTGAGGCTTTCAACGAGGAGGATGCAGAGTATCAGGACTCGAGAACAATGGCACTGAAAACAGCCCAGAGGCTTCTCCAGGAATTGAATCCCAAGGGTAGCCCCCACGAGATGCTAACGCACCGACTGCTTGAGAATTTTTTCCTCCTCACAACGAAAATCAAGACGAATATCGAAAAAGCTCTTCAGGATTGCACAATCCTCGCCAGTCAGGATACCCTGAGAGATCATGTGGGACCTGCCCTGGGTCTTGCCACTGCTCACATTCTCCTCAAACAGACACCCAGAGCCAGAAATCACCTCAAGAGAGTCGCCAAGAATATCTGGACGTTCGAGGATGCCGAATACCTAGAAAGATGTTGGCTACTTCTCGCGGATATTTATGTGCAATCGGGTAAATACGATCTTGCAAATGAGCTCCTGAAGAAAGTACTCCAACACAATGCCACATGTGTCAGGGCTTATGAATTATCTGGGCATATCTTGGAGAGGGAGCCGAATTACAAGGAAGCGTCGGTGCAGTACGCCAAAGCCTGGAAATTCGGGGGGAAAACAAAATTGTCCGTTGGGTACAAGTTGGCGTATTGCTGTTTAAAAAGCAAGAAATACGCTGATGCTATTGAGGCGAGTAATGAGGTACTCAAGCAGAACCCAGACTTTCCCAGAATTCGCAAGGATATTCTCGACAAGTCTATTCATAATATTCGCTCCTAAGAGCAAATTAAATTTCACCTCTATAAAAATTTATAGTCATTATTTTATTTCATATCCATCCAAATTACTTATTTCTATTGAATTTTTATAGAATCGCTATAGAACTATTTATATTTTTCTGGCTGTCTCCTTGAATTATATATACTTATATAGAAATATTTGAAGAAGAAAATCGAATTTCCAGTAAAATTGTGCAATTTACTTTGAGTATTGGTCAAATATATTATATTCTTCGAATATTTACATAATTAATAAGCTGAAACAATATTGTAAATATCGACACAGATAAATTTATAATGAATCAATAAATCCACAAACTTTGTGCTCGTTGAGATCTCTTAACTGCCCCCATCTTTAAATCGTCAATTCCACTGTGTGATTAATACTGATTGAATAAATAAATCCGGGATAAACAGATCAACAGGTGAAGACAGAATCGAAGATTTAGAGATCCAAATAGATAATTCGTGTGGCTGCTATGGCGCCGCAAGCTGCAAGTGTACTTGCAACGAATACAACGGCTGTTGTTGTTCCTGATAAACTTACGATTGTTCCCAGACCACAAGATAGAAGAAACTGGGCTAGGAATACCATCGATGACACAATCGCTACATCTGTACCTAGACCACGTATTCCACCACTTTGAATTGCCTCCCCATCTGCTGTTACCGCGAACTAAGAAGATTTTTCATTAATTTCATCAATTAATGAGAAATCAAAAGAAGAAAAATCGTGAAGAAATAATTACCGTAGATAAGGCATGATATCGTGCAATTAATAAATACGGCATGGTAAATAGAGTTGAGTACATAACTCCAGCGGTCCATGAGAATATTATAACACCTGCTGGATGTTTTGTTATAGCCATCATCATCATTCCGCAGCTATAGAAGAGAAGTCCATAGATATAGACCTTTCGGGCTCTAAAAAAAAATGGCAAAAAAAAAAAAGTAATAATAATAATAATTAATTAAAAAAAAATCAAAAATCCGAATCATTTACTTGTAGATAAAGTATTGATTTTTACTGACTTATAACGTTCGATAAGTCTTTCGATAACCAGCGAGTAACAGGCGCATGATAGTGAGTACATAGACATCCCCCAGCAGCCAAAACGCACACCAGACTCATAGAGTTGTCGTTCTACTGATCCCTCCGGTGCCTGATCCACAAATCACGATATAATCACGCTTAATAAATTGTCATAATGAGATCGATATTTACCTGTGGATTACCCCCGTAAACTGCTTCACCTACGAAATCAGTGAAGTAGAGAGAGTAGCACACGTGTGCCATCCAGCAAAAGAGATTGGTCAGACAAACCATTCGCACGCTGTGAGGCATGTAGACTATTGACATGAGGTATTCACTCAGTGATACTTTCGTATCGTTATTTTGATTTTCTTGTATGTCATTGTCGTAACTCGCTGGTGACAATATCTCGGGAATCATTGGCACTGATCCATGTCTCTTTGAATCCACCGGCAGTGGTTTTAGTATTAAATCCTAGAGTATAAATTTATCAGTTTGTAAATTATAGAGTCTATGAGGGTCTAGAGAAATTCAATTACATCATGTCTTTCCGTATTTTCAGCCGAAAGTGTTCCATAAGACGTGCATTCGTCACCGGTAATTTTCTCGTACCCATTATCCTGTTTTGTGTCCTGCAAGAAATTTAAAATGGAGATTAATAGTGGAGGTGGCCCAGAAGCCTCTGGGTTATATAGCCAAACCTGTTGAGCTCTAAGAATATTCTGGTAACCATCCCTCTCCAGGAGATTGAGAGGAATCTCCTTGAAACTGGTGATTGTACAAGTTACGCATATCACGAAAATGATCGTGATAAGAGTGAATGTTGCATGAAGATGTCCACCGAGAGCAATTCCAAGGCTCGTGGCATCCCAATTTATTCCTCCCAATCCGTACCCCATGAATCCACCAAGACCAGCCATTATAGTGAAGGTACTGAGACCCCTCGCATGATCTTCTGCTCATTGTATTCATAAAAATATAATGGAATTTCGACTGGGTTTTTTTATTTTTTTATTTTTTTATTTTTTTTTTTCCTCGTTGGAACACATGAAAACAAATTGAAGGAAAGTTTACAGACATTTCTTTAGTATATGAAACGCATTTTCCTCTCTTCATTGCATTACTCACCCGGTATTGTTACATCAAGTAGATAAGCCCTAGCTGGACTCTGACATGCGTCAGCGTCGAAATCCAGTAGAGCAGTTCCTAAGATGGTAAAAAATATTCCCCAGCAGTGGGAAGACGTCGGAACGGTGGAAGTGGTTTCATCGATAATTTTAGCTGTTACTCGATGACCCAAGGGGGCTGTGTGATTTAGCAGAGGCCTGGGGTCACCAAAAGCGTAACCGATATCCTCCCCATTCGGAATCAATAATAATCCTGATAATTAATTAATTAATTAATCAATTAATCAATTTATATTTTCATGGATTGCGGGACAATTCAGTCCTGTGTGAACATGTTTTTATTAATTTTTTTTTCTTTTTCCCAATGACATTACCGAGGAGGACGCCGATAGATAATAGAATAATGAAGGGTCTTCTTCTTCCGGATTTATATTTGCATCGGTCGCTGATACTTCCCAGGATCGGCGTTACGAAAAAACCAACGAGAGGACTTAGGGCCCAGACTAGAGTCATGTGTTGATGATCAACACCAATTTTTAATAGAGTTGGTGAGACAAATGCCGTTTCTGCGGCATAAGAAAATTCGATTCCCATCACCGCTGCTGATATCCTCACCAGTTCTCCTCGAGTCTTTTGCCTTAAAATTGATCGTCAAGGGTTTGAAAAATTCTATAACCAATCAAATATATTTTCCAGTTTTTTGTCCATGATTCATTTTTGCATTAAAAAATTATATGAAAAGATTACAAATTGGTTTTTTTTTTTTGTCAAATACCTATAGACATGGGAATAATCCTCGAGAGTTCTCTCCAATTTCGGAGGTCTACGAAAATGGGCCACAATTCCTCCAATCCCCTGATTAGTTGGTATTTCATTCTTCCACTCCTTAAACTCACACCACTTTCCACCTATTTTATCGCGCACCCCATGCATTCGCCCCGTAATTCCCTGATAATCATGTAATTTATCCATGATTCAGTCTAGGCACTGGAGTTTCTTGAAAAACAATTCAAGCTGCTATCCAATTAATTCGTAACAACTGCCCTTAATCAATTGGAATATGACAATTTGTTGCTTTAAAAAATTCAAATTCAAATAATTTAATTCAGATATTTCTAATGGGCATTGCTAACCCCTTGTAACCAAATACTCACGGAACTTTATTCAACTCTAGGACAATTGGATTTAATTAGTTACAATGCACTGGGATTTGACAGTTGTCACACCAACTTTCTTGATTATAATGTATTTTCATCAGTACTCCCAACTCCATAGTTTATTCATCTGCTATCCAATTGAATATTGTTTATCTCATAAATATAAAATTCATTTGTTGAAAATTACGGTAATTCATTCAATATTTATGCCTTTAGATTCATTCAAAACGACACTATTGTTACTACTTATTATGAATTATTATTTTACTCCGAATAATAAGTATATAAAATATTTATTTGTTTATGACGAATGGCATCACACTAGTTCTCTAGAATGTATCGTACGAATTTTTTCATTGAATTCCGATCGAAATTTAGACCAGAGATTATTCAATAATGGATGAATTAGTGATTGGCAATTTTCGGTGAGAATTTCAATTGAGTTTCACTGAGTAATTTTTTTTTTTTTTTTTTTTTTTTGCAGTGGATGAGTGTTGTCTGTTGAACGTCCAGCGCTCGACTGATTTTACCCACCCTTGGGACAGCCCCGGCTGAAAAGGGGATGAAATGAGATGGAAGGGGATGGAAGGGTATAAAAGACAGTCATCTGACGCACGGCAATTGGAAAAAAAAAAATAAAATAAAATGAAATAAAATGCCTTGACACTGTCAAACACATGAAATCCTCGACAATCTCCAACGGAATTCGTCAGTCATTGCTTGACAGAAAGTAAATTGCATCGAGGGAGTTTTCTGCAACAAGTGTTCAAGTCTTCATGGAAAATTGCATTCGCCTCTCTGATTTTTCTTTTATGTTGCCATCGGTTTATCCATGAAGTGTAATTTCCTTTTTCAAATACAGAATATTATCGATCAATAAGTTATTAACACATCTTTGTCGGAAAGCAAAAAATTCATTATAGATTCATTAGAGAAATCCAATAGAATTATAACAGAATTAAACAATTCTGATTGATTCTATATGAAGAAAAATTCGTTGAAACATTTTAAAGACTTAACACTAGAAATTCAATATAAATTATTTTAATAGAATTCTATCGATTTCAATGGAGTTATCTTAGAATTCCAATAGAATAATTCCGCTCTAATTTCGATTCTAATTTGCTGATATTTGGAATTGAACCGTCAAATATTATTTTATGCATATCTTGTTCTCAATCTTTTCCATCTAATTTGCCATTATAATACCATGAAAACAATTACATGGAGAGTCCAATTCACCTGGGCCCTGTCCATAGGATTGCCACAATAATTTCCTAGAGAATTTATCATTTAACATTGTGAAGGCCCAAGTGGCCGGATGAAGACCCACAAAGTAGGTCTCGTAGGATTGGCCGTGAGATAAAAAATGTTACATCATCGTTCAATATTTACAAAGTAATTTCGCGAATTCCCTTGGAAATGAAAAAAAAAAAAATGAGGGTAATCGGATTAATTTCTCCGTTCCTCTTGTTATCGATGAAAAAATTCTTTCTCCTTTCTGTTCTTCTTTGAAAAACTCATAAAATAAACTGGCCTATTATAATAATATTAAAAAAATAAAAATAAAAATAGAAATGAAAATACATTAGCATTAAAGTTGTAAATTATTTCTGTGAGATGAAGCTCGAATACAAGAATAATACAAGCTGATCAATTTCTCCTCATATATAAAACATCAAGGTCCATTCTTCTCCCTGGACTACATTAGGATTCAAATTACTTTCAATTTACATCCGTCGATTTCCAATAGTTCTATTCTCTCTATTCAATAAATTGATAGTCCTTTGTGTCAAACTAAAGAGGAAAATTGCTACTTTCTTTTTATGTCTAGCGAGGGGAGAAAATCCTGAGAAATTGTGTGGAAAATGTAGAGAATTTACGTAGATTATGTAGGAGATTCTTTTAAGACAATAAAATGTAATTTCTTCATTCTCCATTAAATTTCGAAATTAATTCTGCTAGTTTTTTTTTTTTATTCCATTAATGGAAAATTGCTGATGATGATGGCTCCGCTAAATGAATTCATTGAATAGGCAAGTGATTACTTTTCTTTCTTTTATTTCTTTGATTTATTTCACCAATTGGAACCGCATCGTCTCTGAACGGCAACAATTACAGTTTAATCAGGGAAACGGAAAAGACAGGAGAATGGAGAAAACGGAACTTTATTCCAGAGTGGAAGAAAAACCAATTGAATTTACGGAGTTCATTCTTCCTCAAATGAGATTTTATTCCAAGACCTGTCGCCATTTTTATTGTTAAATAGAAGTGAATAAATAGATGAGTCATAAATAAGGGCAAATTATAAATAAATAAGAAAATTTGTTGAATTATGCAACTAAAGACACTAAATTAACATTATTAATACGCAATGAATCCGTCTTTCTCAAGGAAATGAAAATGTCAAGCATTTCCTACAGTACACACAAGTCACTTATTATACCTACCCGTGACAGTGTCAAGATTATCTCCATGTACTTGATATAAATCATATTGTTTCCATTTAATTGTGTCAAGGGTAGTTTGCACACCCGCATTTTTGTTTAATTGCTATTGTCGTAACAACAAATTTTATCGAAATTCCCTGAAAATTAAAACTCTGCAAAATGTCAGTTTCTCTTTGACGGAGAAGAAGTTTTTTTTTTTTTTTTTTTTTCATTTTAAGATTTCCGCAAGTAAATTTGGGCAGTGATTGGTCATAATATAAAGATACGACAAAGTCGACAGAATTAGAATAAAGTTGGATCGACATGCAGACGTATTTTAACGAGCTCGCACCTCGCATTGGCAATTACATCTTATTTCTTACCCTTGAGCCTCTGTGTTATAATTAAAGTCTTGTGATGTGTCTCGTCGTGGGCCACTGGGTCGAAAATTTGGATATATCATTTATCGTTTTGTGGTAATAAATAAATATCAATAAACAATGAGGCAATTATGCAATCGAATCGATTGCACATTTCAATAATTTTTTTTGCTCTCCCCATGGAACACAATTACCATTTGTTTCATTCATCAGCTTGCGGGAGAAATCCATTCCAAACGGAATGGTAAAGAGTACAGAATTGTTTCGCGTGATGAGCTGTTTAACAATATTAAAAAATCAATGGGTGTTTATCTCGGTGGAATAACTCTCACAGAAAGGATCACTAATTATCTCAAGTTCAAGTGCAGGCATCACAATCTAACGACAAAGAGTTCTATTTTTGAACTGATCTAGGGATAAAATAAGAATTTTGTTGATTGAAGATATTTTAACTTATTGGTGATTTTTGTGGATTTATTCAGTGGAATATACTACATAAATTTGACCCAGAAATTTCTCAAAGTAATTACGACACTTTTAAATCCAGATTTCACCGGTTTCTAGACACACCAACCACATCCACAAGTTTTCCCACCTATGGGTGGATGATTTCAAGAAATGTCAATGAATCTAATGGAGATACATTAAAAAAAAAATCTTTTATCGAATAATTCGGTGTAATCTCGTATAGATTAAGAGAAATTCCCCACATAAAGCATGAATTTTATTATCTACAAATATTTCAGTAAAAAAACTCAATTTAAAGCGAACAATTTTTTCTGGTGAATTAAATGAAGATAACTACTCGGTGGTCAATTAATTGATTATCATCGAATATATTGGAACAAGTATAGGAGATAATTAATATCTTATAAAAAATGTTATAATAGGCGAAAAAAAGAAGGTGGAATGAAACGTTGTTTCAAATGGCAATTGCTAATTTTTCTTTGATTTTACTTTTTTTAATTGCCGTGATTGTCATGCTTAATGAAAAATAATGATAATACCAGGATGATGTCTCACAATATTTGCACTACTCACAAACGTCATGAATCATATGCATAAATGACGTGTTAATTTCTTACGCTGTCCTCTCCAGATTACTATATTAGTTAATCGATACCGTAAAGAGATATCAATCGCATGTACTTATCGATAGACAAGTGACACCTCTCGAGGACTTGAATAGATTTCTCGATAATTGCGCTTGATAACGATTTATTTATGGCTGAAATTATGCCGTCATCCATTGATCGATAATATTTTGAAATTATCCTCGTCTGCTGATTGGGAAAATTTTTATTTGCCAGTCAATCGGGGAGTGATGACCTCTCTACAATACAACAAATCAATAAAATTCTCATTGAATATCCAAAAAAAAATTCACATTTATAATCCAAATGATAAAAATCATTGCAATTGGAAAATTTCCACTGTAAATTTTTCCTTAATACATATAAATAATAAATTAATAATATTTTATAAGAGCGCGGAGAAAGATAGGGTGAATTCATCGAATTTTTAATAGAATTTACCAAGCAAATTAATAACTAATAATTTATGCCGAAAGCGCATAAATACGGGAAATCTCCAAAAATTATTTGATATCTTATCTCTCGGCTCAACGGCTCCCTAATATAAAAGACAGCACCTCTCATCATCAATCTCCAGTACGAAATTATTTGTCTAGTGATTAACCGACGATGTCTAGAAGAAAAAAAAAAAATCCGTAATTGTTGTGTTGCAGTATCAGTCGTTGAAGAATTGTGTGATTTAGTGTGTCACGCGTCAGCCAATTAGAAGGAAGTTGAGAAAATTAACGTTTACACTGGGGATATGACAAGGGATTTTTAACAAAGTGCGGTGAGAATAATTTCACGTCGTGATAATAAAGAAAAAACAAACCGACAATCAGATATCGGCTCCTCACCAATGAGCGAGGGGATCACTTGGAAAATACAAAACCGTGCAACACCACCAAGGGAACAATATTGTTTTATAATATTCAGGTGGAATTCGGTGTACAAATTGTGCACAACAATTCAACGACAATTTTTTATCACGGAGCACTTCGGAATCACTGGATACAGCCATGGGTTCGTAATAATTACAAAATATACTTGAAATTTTCCTTTTAATAAAATCGCACAATTTTCCCATTATTTTTTAATAATTCAATCAATTATTTCATCATTTCTCATCGATCTTTCAATCAAGTGAGTTGATAAATGCTAATAATCGAAATTCTTACATGCCCCTTAGCTTTTGACATATTTGTGATGATGGAGATGAGTTTAATGGGTGCATAGGTGCATGTAGTAATGTTGATGAATGAATGATTTTTTTTAAATGACTTAAGGGCTCGATTTCCTGGCCGACGGAGGTGCCGACTTCGAGCATGCAATCACCGTTACGGGTGAGTTGATTTTAATTATGTATAATATTTAATTGGGAGACAATGGAATTTAGATGAGAAAAATATATCTGGGCCGATGATAAATCATAGCCTCAAGGTAGGTCATGAGATCGCCTGGCCCAAGTAAATATTCAACTAAATTAGTCTCTGAACACATGATAATCATGAAATAGTAATCAAACGGGTATTTACACTGTGAAGACCAGGTAGACGTGTTATCTCGGTGTCAACTAGTCATAAACACAATCCCTATCTTGTTTTTCTCTTTTCCTCGGAGATTTAAGCCCAAGAATCTTGTGAATTACTCAAATACATGACGAATATAACAATCCAACCATTACATTGAAAAACAAATCACTGGGCTCTAATGAATTTCGTGTATTTGAATAATTTTTATTAAAGCCCCATAAAAAATTAATTATTCTTGTAATAAATAACTGAGAGTTCTTTGCATTGTTTTCGTATTTCTTCTTTCTTGCAGATTCAATGATTTCATTATTCTAAATTATGAAACCTATCAATATTAATAAATTTAATGAATCAATAAATTGTTTATGCTACAATTAAGCAAGGTTGTACAAAAAAAAATCTTCTATCTGTGTTAGGTATGGAGATATCAGGTGTCTTTTAAATAAATAAATTCAGGTTCAACCTTGAACCCTTATCATACGCTTTGGAAATCCTCTAGAGACGCCTCTGGAGACGCTATGTTATCATTGATAATGCAATACCATTGACTGATACCTAGCCGATTTTTTTCTTTTTTTTTTTCCTCAGGATTCGGCAAATTTCACTACATGCTGCTTGCAATATGCGGTCTCATTTACATGGACACAGCCATCGGTGTAACTATTATTTCCTTCGTCCTGCCAGCAGCACAATGTGATCTCCGAATGGATTCCACCACCAAAGGCTGGCTCAGTGCATCTCCAATGTTCGGTGCGAATCAAATAATCAAATAAATTTAAAAATTCCCTGTAAAAATTATTTTATGTCATTGTGATAGAAAAGACGTTTTTATCGGAGTGAAGCGAGGTGAAGAGAAATATAAAATAGCATCATAGTCACGGCAAAAAAAAAAATGATTTTAAGTCATGCGCTTTATAATTTACTTTTTAAATGGTTTTCTCCTAAACATTTCAAATACTCGTTGAATTATTTTCCTATGGAAATTCACTCTTCATGAATTGTACAATTTTCTTCCGCAATTTTTCCCTCTTTATTTTCATTATATTATTATTATTATTATTCATAAGTTGGAAGAGAGAATGAAATTTGAAAAATTTTATGAAATTTTTTTCATCTCGTTTCGCTTTGTCTCTCAAATCAGCTAAATCTTGAATTATTCACTGAAGGTGATGCCACTTCCGCGAAGAAATGTGCAAGTAAATTTATGATACAATTAGTCTGACCTAGAAAATAGCAAATATTGATTCATCGGTGGAAGAGAAACCCTAGAAAAAATGGTTGGATATTTTATGGCTTCTTAGCAATTCAATTCTTGAATCTCAAGTTATTATGAAATTTTCTTCAGGAATGGTTATTGGATCGTACATATGGGGATGTCTGGCTGATACCAAAGGCCGGAAAATAGTGTTGATTGCCACTTTGCTGATGGATGGAATTGTGGGAATTATTTCCTCATTTGCCCAACAGTTCTGGCCCTTTTTGCTCTTCAGGTTTTTCAATGGATTCGCGTGAGTTTATTTGGAAATTCAATTAATTACAAATAAACTAATAATTATTCCCACTAAAAATTGTGTGATTGTAAGCTGTAATTGTCGCATCAATGCAACATGAAATTTAATTAAAATATTAATTATTACATTTTAGTGTTACTGGGGCGATGGGAATTTGTTTCCCATATCTCGGAGAATTCCAGCCCACGAAATACCGCGAGAAAATTCTCTGTTGGATGGAAATGTTCTGGACTGTTGGTGTTATCGTTCTCCCACGTACGTCTAATTAAAAACAATCAATTATCAATTATTATAATTTATAATTGTAATAATTGAGTTATTCAGGAGTTACATTGGGGGGGGGGCTGTATCTTCTTTCTCAGTGATTGCATGGCTGATTGTCCCTCTTCATATTACCTACGAATCCGATTCGTTCTACTTCAAATCCTGGAATCTCTTCGTCGCCCTCTGCGCCTTGCCCTCTCTGATGCTCGCCCTGTGGCTTTTTGCATTTCCTGAGAGTCCGAAATTCCTTCTGGAGTGCGGGGAAACTGACAAGGCCCTCGAGGTTTTCAGGTGGATTTATGCGCAAAATACTGGAAACGATCCATCACAGTATCCAGTAAGTGTCCAATCAATTCAGAATCTAAAACCTCAAGACAAATTAAGAATAAATTTAAAAAATGTGATAAATTGTGAAATCCCAGGTGAAATCTCTCCAGGAGAAATCGAATCCCAAAGACAAAAGTACTAGGTCTCTGAGACTTCACAAGCGCAAAGACCTCAAAGTACTTTGCTCTGAGGTCTGGGATCTAACAAAAGCGCTTTGCAAACCGCCGTACCTCAGAAATACTGTTCTAGCATGTGCCATTCAATTCGGCCTGACGAGCAGTTATTACACTCTGATGGTGTGGTTTCCCGAATTATTCACCAGGTAATTATCCCTAATTATTTAAATTAATAATCTCTTTTTTGTTTTTAATCCAATTAACTCTTTATTTTCGTTTTTCGTTTTTCGTTTTTCGTTTTTCTTTTTCTTTTTCTTTTTCTTTTTCTCTCTTGTAAAGGAAATGCAATTTGTTCTAGCGGTGAAAAATCTCTTTGGCTTTTTTCCACTTTCAGATTTGAAGAGTTTGAAGTTGAATTTCCGGGGGAATCTACATCTGTGTGCATCGTATCTCTTCCAAATAACAGCACTGATTCAAATCCCTACGGATGTGGAAATATCATTGCAACTGATGTTTATTTGCATACTGTGTACATTGGCCTTGCTTGCATTCCCGGATCCATTATTCTGCCACTTTTCATTCACAAAGTTGGAGCCAAGGCTTTTCTCAGTGAGTTATAAATAATGATGGATGAAAAAATTCAATGCAAATCCACAATTCCATGTACACTTTTTTTCTGTCATAACTCATTATTATTTTCTTATAGTGGAGAAATTAATTTGTCATTAAGATTAATTAATTTTGATCAAACTTGATATTTCAGTCGCATCCCTCGTAATCTCCGGTGCAGTAACCATTGGTTTTTATTTTGTCACGAGTTCCGATCAGAATCTCATCCTCTCCTGTATTTTCGAGGCCCTCACCTCACTGGGAATATCTCTAGTTTACTGCGTAATTGTTGACATGTTTCCTACAAATTTGAGGTTTGCAATAATCATGTATATTATTCTTATCATCACATGATATTTTCTAGAAATTTATTCGCAATTTTTCAGTTTTTCAGTTTTTTTTTTTTTTTTTCTATCGGTGAAAGGGAAATACAAATTTTTCTCGTGGGAAATTATTTGGAATTTGATTGGAAATATTAATTTGTTTTCTTTCTAGGGTAATGGCAGCGGCATTGTCATTAACAATGGGCAGATTAGGCGCACTCGTTGGTAATCTTGTCTTCGGTTATCTCATTGATCTGGCATGCGTCGTACCTATTATACTCTTCGCAGCTTTCCTATTCAGTAAGTTTTATCAATAGAAAAATAGATGATAAAAATCATCAATTTTTCACACCAATTTTTAATTTTTTTAATTTCAGTGTGTGGTTTCCTCTCATTTTTGCTGCCAAGGACTGGGAAAGACACTCTGGACTAGAATCAATTCTATCTTAATTGAAAAACGAGATTTTTCATCGAATTTATCTGTTTATTATTTTATTCATCGTAACTTTTCTAATTTAAAGTATTTTATAGTGAAAGCGTTTGAATTTTCTACGCAATTCTCAAATGGCTGCACAGTTCTCTTTCCTCAATGGAAAGTACTCAAGCCGAAGGATTATTTTAAGTATTTATTATCACATATTTAGCCATAAAGTACATTACAGGACCTCTACAAAGCTTAAAAAAATTTTAGCACACAAACGATAAACTCACAATTATGTATAGAATGTATAAAAATAATTGACATTATGAGGATGATATGAGGGGACACGTATAAGATAATTGTAAAATAGTTAATACTTGTATGTCTTTTTTTTTTTTTCTAAAATATATAATTTATTATCGCAACAAAAAAAAAACGAAAACCGTGTCACATTATCATTTTTATTTTATCGATTTGCCTCAAAATATCCAATTTATTTAATTGAAAAGTCGAAAATTGTGAAAAATAATGGAAAAAAAACTATCAACAGTGAAAAAATGCAATAATTTTCTATCATGCTGTCGATCTTTTACCTCTGATCGAAGTAATACCCACTACCAGTACGAATAATTCACAAAGGTTTATAATGCCGTTAAGAAATATCCTTATCACATCTAGTCCGCGCAGTTCTTAAAAGTTTTCGCGAAAAGATTCTCTGCACTAACGTTTCAATATTTTTTTCTAATTAAACAACTCAAATGACGTCAGTTAAATTCCATGCGATTAATTGCCTCTCATAAAAAATAATAAAAAATAATTAGCTATCCGATTGGTCCGCGAATGAATAAACTCTCGAGTTCAATTCGTCATCGGCTGCGATACGTATTTGATGAATTTATGGAACTGGAGGTCAATAACGGTCAATTAACGAAATGGATAAGCTTATGCCAACGAGAAAATTTGAAATATTAGTGAATAGTCAATATTTATCAAGTTTAATATCCGGAGGATTGAAAAATAATTGTATCAGCAGTAGTTTGTGACTATGTTTGCATATAACTTTGGAAAATTACGTCAGTTTTTATTTTCGGCCCCCGAGGGTTCAGAGCTGATGAGAATTAACAATGTGATAACGATTTAAGAACGATTTAAGTGAGGTGATAGTGGAGTGTTGGTTTTTCATATCCAGAAAAATAGTGTCATACGACGTTTTCTCACGGTCAGGGATAAACGATATTGTCTTCATTATAGTTTTATTCCTCAAGCTCGTCGTTGTCATAATCAAAACGCGGTGTATTTTTTATTCATTGAAAAAAAATTTTATTTTTTTTTCAAATTCATTATGGCTGTGAGGATTTGCGAGGAAATAACGCAGGATGCGCTCAATCAAACAGGTATTTTGCTCTTTAAATTTAGAAATGTTCTATTGTTAATTTTCAGTTTTAAGACTGAATTTTCATTCCTCCCCAGGATTTGGCCGTTTTAATTTAAAAATCTTCGCAACATGCGCCCTAATATGCATTAACGGAGGTCTTGGTTTGGGAAATGTCGGCTTGATAATTCCATCAGCAGCTTGCGATTTCAAAATGACAACAGTCCAAAAAGGATACATGGCAATGGTGCCGGTTTTAGGTGAAATAAAATTACCGCTCTATTCACTTGAAAAAAATAAAAATAAAATTTTCCATTTATTTCCGTAATGATTTTCAATTTTAATGGTTTTCAAGAGTTTGACAAGGTGCATGCAGTATGCACCAATACAGTTGCCAGACGAGAAATTGTGAGAAACAGTCCGGAAAATTTTTATTACCAATTGATTATTATCTCAAAATGCGTGATAGATAAATTCGTTATTGTCAATAAAAATTGATTGAAGGAATGGTGCTGGGCCCTTATTGTTGGGCGACACTAGCTGAGATGAAGGGGAGAAAAATGGGATTGATAGTAGCTCTGCTCTTTCATGGAGTTGGTGATATGACTGCTGCTGTCATCTCCAACTACTGGGGATTGCTTATCTGCAAGTTCCTGGTGGGTTTTGGATTCAGTGGGCAATTTGCACTTTTGTTTACATATCTCGGGGAATTTCAACCTTGCAAAGCCAGGGATCGTCTTCTGGCCTGGCTGGAGCTGCCCTGGGCTCTGGGACTTCTCATTACCGCAGGTCTCGGCTGGGCCATCATACCACTCAATATCAACTACGGGAGTAATATCGGTTTCTTCTTTAAATCCTGGAATCTCTACGTATTAACTTGTGGCTCTTTGTCACCGATTCTCGCTCTGTGGATCGTTTTTCTACCAGAAACACCGAAATATCTTGCTGAGACTGGAAAATATAAGGAATTGCTTCAACTCTTCGAGGACATCTATCACGCCAATACCGGAAATTCGCGGGAACAATATTTGGTGAATATTTTTTATATTGATATTGAAATTATCGATAATTATTGATAAGATTTTACAGTTGAAAGGTGTAATGGTGAGTCGAATGTCGCATCTTTGGGAAAAAAAGTCTCATTGATTTTTTTTTTTTTTTTTTAACTAGTGAACTGAACAAACTGAGAATTATTCAAAAAGACAATATTTTTTGAAAATTTTCGCAGGAGGTAATAAAAAAACTGGCTAATCCAGGACTCAATTGCTTGCTGACTCAAGCTCAAGAGCCAACAGTTGCTATTCGCAAATCAATTTGTCAAATGGTGGCGCAATATACGAAACAGACGAAGGAAATAATAAAACCACCGTACTTGAAGACGACAATTCTCATGGCAATAGCTTCGTACACCGTAACGTCACCCTACTTTACCCTGATCTTTTGGTTACCGGAGATTTTCCGAAGATACTCCATCTTTGAGGAAATTTATCCAGGGAAAAGCGCCAGTGTCTGCACTATATCGGATCTCCTCTACTCCACAAATTCGACACAAGTTATTAAAATATTTATATTAATTTATTATTATTATTATGTATGATGAAGTTATTTTTTTATTTTCTTTTCAGAAAAAAGAAATGAATTATTCTAATTGCACTCAAGTACTGAGTGAAAATGTCTATTTTCATAATATGATTTTGGGTGCCACATCCGTTCCAGTCGCCTTTTGGCTCCCCCTTTTTGTAGACAGATTCGGATATAAAATTCACTTAGGTAATATTTTATTTAAACAACAAACCAATAAATCTGACAAAACATTTACCATTTACCATCCATACCATTCCAGTGAGTGCTTCTCTCACGAGTGCTGTTTTGTCGTTCGGATTGTTTTTTGTTGAGACTTCAACCCAAAATTTGATAATTGCATGTTTATTCGAGGCATTGGCATCTATTTGCATAACAATTGTCCTGTGTATTCTGGTGGAGCTCTACCCAACGCATCTCAGGTACACCTCAGATTCATTAAGTCTAATCAACAAATTGAACAAATAATTCCATTTGAATTACAGCGGTGTGTAGTCAAATGGGTGAAGTAAAAGGAAAAATTCGAAGAAATTGTGAATTGTGTAGAATTCGATGCGATTATTATTAACTCATGATATATATATATATATATGTTATGTTATTAATCTGTTGGATTTATTTCATTTTCAGGGTAATAGCTTCGGCACTGGCTTCATTCGTTGGTAGAATCGGAGCTTTTGTGGGTATTTCAATGGTCGGATATCTTATCGACAATTACTGCGTGCCCTTAATTATTCTCATTGGGTCGCATCTAATTGGTGAGTTATTTGAATTAATTACAATAAAAACTCAGTGCGTGTGGTAATATGACGCGTTGTACAGGTGAATTTCAATTTTATCATCAGCATTGATGTATATGTATTCATATATTAATGGTATTCATGTTGGCGAGTGTCTGCCATATTTTTTCAAATTCGAGGACAATAATTTGTAGTTTATAGTTTATTAGATTTGCAATTTTGTTATTTGCCTTTTCAGTTGCTGGTATTGTGGGAATATTCATTCCAATTCGTAAAACAAAGGAGGAGTTCGAGAAACGAGAGAGATTGAAAAAGGAGAAATTAGTTGAGAGTGCGAACGCTTGTAATCACTTGTAATTTTTTAAATTGTTATTCCTTTAATTATTTTATGAAGCGACTAACATTTTTATTACTATCATTCTCTCATTCATTTCACTTTACTCACAAAATTGAGAGTTATCCTGATTTTTAATAAAATTATAAAGAAGAAAAAGGATTTATTGTGGAAATTTATGGAGTATTTCCTGCATCGCTCCCGAGTTTTAATGATCTTGGATCCTTGAGAAGTCGTAATAAATCAATCATAAATTTCCCTAAGCGATTCAATATATGATAACATTATCCAGATGCGACGAATTGCTCAGCATCTTATAAATCGAATAACTCAAGGTATACAATTGTGGATGAAAAATCCATCTGGTACTGAACATAAATCAGGTAAAATAATCCGGAAAGTAATTGAATCCCTGCAATACGACGCAAGTATTGAGGAATCCATTCAAGGACAATCCTATCTTCACGAGAGGCAATGAAAATTCATTTTCAATTATTCTCATCACTCCCATACCAAAAAATTATTAGAACATTATTAATTTGAGATATTAATCCCCGAATTGTGACAAATTCTTCAAATACCCGAACAATTTGTTATTAATGAATTTGAATTTATTTTTACTTTATAATCAAAGAATTTAAGATCAAATGAGAGTTGAAGTAATTTTGCTTAATGAATATTCCCTATTAGAAAAAAAGTCGGTAAATCGGCTGAATTGCCAATAAAATTCAAATAAAAAAAAAATCAATAAAATTCCTGGCAAGTGTGGAATGTTTTTCAGTTTTTGTTTTTATACCTGATGCTGTATTTTCTAGGAAAGGTGATATTTTTAGGAGGGGATAGTAATGATATTAGGATTGACTGGCCATTTTATCGGTCAGTTTACAGCTGGAGTTGTTGGAGGATACTCTAGAAAAATTAACAGGTCACCTCGAGGAAAATCATGGCAAAATCAGTCAATGGTATCCATCAGTGAAAAATTTAAGCGCCCATAAACTATGGACTAATTGGTTAAATTATTTTTTCCAGATGTCCAAACCGTGGAGACCGATGTGGAAACAGCAGTTGCATTCACAGGTAAAGGAGAAAAAAATTGATATTATTGTAGTTGAATTGATTGTCTGATTCATTTGAGGGGGAAATAATGATTTCAGGCTTTGGAAAGTTCAACATCAAAGTTTTGATTCTGTGTGGATTAATTTATATGAATACAGGATTCAGTATAAGCAGTGTGGGATTTATTCTTCCTTCAGCTGCTTGTGATTTTCAGCTCACGACAATTGATAAAGGCCGGATATCAGCTACACCCACTCTAGGTACTGATTTTCTATTATCAATTTCTCTCTTTTTAAATTTTACAGTGTAGCAAATAATTATTTAATTTCCAAATTATTATTTTCATTTTAGGAATGCTTTTGGGTGCATATTTTTGGGGTTGCCTAGCTGATCTAGCAGGAAGGAGAAAGGCCCTCATGACATCAACTTTCTGCTACGCATTATGCGAAATCCTCTCATCTGTAGCCTCGAATTACTCGGCATTTCTCCTCCTCAAATTTCTCAGCGGTTTTTCGTAAGTTGCATTATCAGCACAAATTCCGAGATCCATTAGGATTTCTCCCGATTTGGGTTGGACAATCAAAAAGACTTTAACTAGCGAAATGGATGTTCAATTTTTTGGAAAATTTGATCGAGTTGAATGATTCCTTCATTTAAAAAATATGTTACTTTTTTTATTAACAGAATAACAGGCCTCAGCACTGTGGTATTTACTTACCTGGGTGAATTCCAATCCGGAAAAATGAGGGAGAGAATGCTGTGCTGGATGGAGATGGCTTGGTCTCTTGGTCTGATAGCTCTTCCCCGTGAGTTAAAAAAAATTCCACTTAATAAACTTAATTACTTCTCAACGAGTCATAGTAAATTGACATAGTAATCAATTAAACAACTGCACTGTTAAATAACTCAATGAATTGTCAATTAATGAGGTGAAATGAGTGACTGGATAGCGAATGTAGCAGAAGTGAACTATTATAGCAATTAAAAATTATGATAAAGATATGATTTATGACGATATGGACATGATATATGGACATCAATAAATGATTCTCCTTTCAGTGACTGGCTGGGCAATCATACCTCTGCCCATATCGTTTGTCAATGACATATTCTTCTTTCGCTCTTGGAATCTTTTCGTAATAATCTGCGCGCTGCCATCAGTATTTATTGGATTTTGGATTCTGTCGTTTCCGGAGAGCCCTAAATATCTTGCTGAGACTGGAGACACGCGTGCTCTCGCCAAAACACTTTGTATCATGCACCAGGAAAATACTGGACTGCCTTTTGACGATTATCTGGTAACGTTTCCGATAAGTTCAACAATTTGACAGCTATGAATGGTGAAGGAACAGAGGTCGAAATGAATATTTTCATTAATCATAATTTGTTTTTTTTTTTTTATTTTTTTTTCTAGCTGATTATATTTCCAATGAAACGGGTTTCATGACATTATCCTATTTAAAATAAGTTGTTTCTACGATGCATTGATATTAAATATTTGCTTCATCTTCTCGTTACTGCCTTCATTGATAAATCCTAAAATATAATTATTTAATTATTAAATAATCAGTGACAAATGAGCCATTATATTTGTGATATTAAAATGACCTAGGAGACATTGTCGAACAACGGATACGAAAGTCTCAGCGAGAAGCTTGGCAGCTGTAAAGTAGATGGAGAAAAATTTTCAAATCCTCAAAAATCGCAAAAGGATAGGATCCACAAGTCATTAAAAAATATCTATCAACAAACCCTAGCGCTGGTGAGACCCCCGCTGCTTCAAAAAACGGCAAATGTTTGCAGTATTATGTTCTGCTTGGGATCTTCATATTACGCCCTGATGCTATGGTTTCCAGAGCTCTTTCAGAGATTCGCAAGGTTTGAAGCAGAATTTCCTGGAGAATCTGCCAGTGTCTGCAGGGTTTCCCAGGAAAAAATCTCAGAAGATTCAGTGGTAATGAATGTTAATCGTTAGGCATAATTGATTTTAATTTTATAGCAATTATCTCCTAACTCTATAATTTTCAGAGCACTAACTGTCCATCAACAGTTCCAAGAGATGTTTACGTTCACACATTGATCCTTGGGTTTGCCTGTGTGCCTCTCAGTCTCATGCTGCCCCTCTGCGTTAATCAATTGGGATATAAATTTTATCTAGGTAAAGACTGCAATTTGATTTTTATCTGCATTATCTTGTGATGGACGCAATTTTCAGTGGTTTCGACACTCGTTGCATCAAGTGTAACTGTTGGATTGCTATTTGTAACTTCCTCCATTCAAAATCTTATACTCTCCTGTATCTTTGAGGCTGCCTCCTCCATTGGTATGAGCATTGTATTGGCTGTTGTTGTAGATTTGTTCCCAACTAATTTACGGTATGTACTGCATAAAAAAAATAATAATAAAACCGAAAAATTTCCTTCAGATCTTTAATAGTAATTTTATTTTCGTATTGTAGAGCTTTTGCAGCTGCTGGTTGTTCTTTCTGTGGAAGATTTGGTGCTTTAGTGGGTAATTACATGTTTGGATATATCATTGATACGCACTGCCTGATGCTCATTACTATCGTAGCTAGCAAATTATTGAGTAAGTTTTCTGCCATTTTCAATTGAATGGATGAATTGAGTTGGATTTTTATTATTATTTTGATATCAATGTTTTCTTTCAGTATGTGGAGTTCTTGGATACTTGCTCCCTGTTGGGAGAAAATCCAAACAAACGGTTGTGTCTCCCGAGCAAATACCTGAATAAAGAATTTTTCATTTGTTAATATGCTTCTACTATTTATTAATTTCCCCGATTAGAAAATTATCAAGGGATGTTGTCGGTTTATTTCAATATTCAAACGATTTCAAGTGATTTGGTAAGTGAATAATTGTGGGGGCAAGTTGAAAAAAAAAAGATTCCGAGAGACCAATAAATCTCGAGGTGTCAGCTGATTGTCAATCGTTTAAGTATACTTATGCAAGACATTTTTTCCTCAATTTTTTAAACAAAATGCGTCTTCATGAGCATGAAGACCATAGAGGATTGACTAAAGTAGAGAAATTAAAAAATTGTAATTAAATAAATAAACAATATAAATGGGGTATACCAATTTCGTAACACAGAAAATAACATTCACCCTATTGACTGGTTCCTCTGACAGCGAGACTGCTACTGACTACTGAATTGAGGCAGTTACTGAGTCGGCCGACGGACAGACACCCCCATTGCGTGTGGCGCCCTCACTCTCTTGGGGTGCAGCACTACGATGCCGCTGGGGTCACTCAAACCCCCAGAACTGAGCCTAGTGACACATTATGAAACAGGTGATTTGGATGTACATAACCTGGAATTGCTGCAACATAAAGTGGAAAGACGTGTAAATACCGAAAATTTAATCCAAATAAGTGGATTATCTTCCATGAGAGCTCCTGAGGGACGCTACAGCTGATTGTCATCTAAAGGAATCTAAAGAAATTGAAAGAGGTCAGAATTATGGGGGGGGGAGAAAAAAAAATTTCTTTAACAATTAAATGTTGCCAAAGATTATCCTTATTTCATGAGATTTTTAATAATCAAACATATGAATTGCAGAAATATTGTCCCAATAAAGATTACGGTTTGATTTCAGAGCGAACGTTATGAAGATCCCCTCGTCTTCGAGTTTTACATTGCAGGGGGGTGACGCCTCCTTTGAGAATCGTCAGAAGGCTCTTTTCAATGGATTATCCCAAGCAGAAAGGGCCTGCAACGTAATCCAACCAGTGTCCGACTACCCTGACCTCGCAGTAGAGCATTTTCGAAGACCCCCACCCCCAGGAAAACGACGTAGGACTGAGACGAGACAATTCAAGGGACAGGAGAGCATTTTCAAGAGGCCAGAGCTGCCCTCACCTTTCGCAGACAAGAATATTCCTGATTACCTTCGAAATCCGCACAAGTGGGCGAAATACAGTCTCGCTGATATCTCCAACGAGGACATGTCAGACATGAACAATACTCAGGCTGCATTGTCCTTTCTCAATGGTCTGAGGGCCAGGAGGCTGAAGGAACACGCCATCAACATGGAGATTGAGGAGAGTCCCACAATCTCCAAAGTCACATTCAAAAAACCATGGGGAGGGGGCCCCAGGGCCCTCGTCATTCAGGACGAAAAGGAGAAGCCTGTTTTCAGGGGCAGCAAAATCGTCCTGCCTGAATATGTCATTGGCCAGAGGACAATGAAAAAAGGGAGGAAGGAAAAGCCTCTGGAAAAATTCGACAGAAATAAACAACTCAAGCTACAGCATTTGGAGGAAGAAGAAGACCAGTAGAAAATTTGGATTGAAATTCAAATAAATCTTTGAGATTTCATAAATTTTCTGTAAAAAATCAAATTAAATTCTAGTTTGATGATCGATTTTGATGAATGGAGAGCGGCAAGAAATATATGTTTTATGAATGTAAATACAATTTTTTCGGTTCTCATGTAAACTTTGTAGTACTGAGAATTATTACGAGTAAATGAATGAATTGATATTCATGAGAAGCGTCAATTTATTTATAACATCTGTTCCACCTGTTAGTCTAGATAAGCCATTAAGATTGAATTAATTTGTGTTGAGTAGAAGAAAAATAGTGTGTTTGAAGAATATATCAATTGCATTATTCGAGTAGGTAGAAGCGAATAATAAAAATTTACAAATTGAGGGCGACTAGAGCTACACCGATAATTCAGTAATGAAAAATTCCATTCATCAGAGGGGATGTGAAAGAGTCAATCCAAATTGCACTGATAAAAGTAGATTCGGGGAACCGTTAAACGTAAGTCGGCCAGGAGTGGCCTCTTTCCTCTGCACTTTTTTGTTTCATAAGCACTAACCGGATTCTGGATTTCAGCGATGAAGAGGAACGAGTCGCGTTGGAAAGACTCTCATTTTAAAAAATGTAAAAAATGTAAAAAATTATATGCAGTTGTGGCGAGTGGGTTGGAGAAATGTGGAAGATTTCACGAAGGTTTTCCATATAATTATTGAGATGAATAATTGGGAAAATGTAATTAGGTTGAGAGAAATGAACGCAAGCTGCTCGAATCTCTCGCTACCATCCGTTTACTTGGTTTTCTTCCTTCATCGAAGGTTCACTGACACAGAAGATCATGTGGCAAAACGAGATTGTGATTAAACCAGGGCAAGCATCAGTCATGTGTGAAATCAAAACACAATTATTTGGATTTGCATTGGATGAATGATTTTCTTATAATTCATTTTTCAAGAAATTGGAGAATTTATACTCCCTTTATACTCCCACTCGGGATAAAAGGGACCGAAGGAATAAAAAATCGAAGAGCACCGTTTTACCGTTTCACTCTGATTTTTTACCGATTTTTCGACAAATATCTTAGGATATAAGCGAGATGGAGGATATACAGCCAAACTCTATTTTTATTTAATCCACGTGAATAGTGAGGAAAGGTAGGTAAACAAATGGAGAAATCTTCGCTTCATCACCCGTAATAATACTTTACAAAAGTTGTTTTTTCGATCCATAAAACATTCTATTCACACATAATGCACCTGAATTTTCAATATCCAAAGATTAGGAGCGATCGAAACTAGAATGCGGAAATGCGTCTGCACTGCACAGGAGAAAAGAGGCAGTATGAAAATGAATGTTTACGAGTCAGAAACCCGCGGTTGAGGATTTTACTGGTTTCTCACGATATGTCTAAAAGGCGTTTATCTTCAGCCTTCAATATCTTTGAGGTGCCATGTAAAAAATCTCTTTTTCTTACAGCCATTGCTTGCACACGGCTCCCTATAATTTCTACACAACCCAAGTGATAACAGTGACGATGCACTTGTTAGAAAAATATTTCATCATTCTGCCAGGGATCATTTTACCAGGAGGTAATTAGAGGGCTTTCATTGTACTTCGAATAAAATATCGTCAAAGATTGTACTTCGAGTAAAATCAAACGAATATTATAATACAATATAAAATATAAGATAAACATGGCTCATCATCAACATTTATAAGCAAGTAAAATTAATGGAGCGAACTCGATTTTTTCCCAAGGGATGACTACTTATTCATCTAATTTTTATTTATTATTCGAATCGGAATAACGAAAATATTCACATTTGATTTATGATTATAATGAAAGACATTAATCGCTTAACGAGCATTTGCCCCGCAAAGAATGGAAAATTATGGGATAACTTCCAGTTTAGTGCACAATATGAGTGAGAGTTTAATAAAAAAAAAAGGCATAATTTACGGGGTGAATTTACCATAGGAGTGAGGCCGATTCGTCATCGAGGTCATGACTCCCACGCTCCAATCCTCAGATACAACACTTGATATCTTAATAGAGAAGTTTGTATTGAACAAATGTTCACTAACATTATGCTGATTGGTACTGGTATATTGAGCCCTCGTACCTTTTTTTTTTCATCGCTACTTATTCCAAAAACAGGCATTAAATTATGGTACGTCTTGCAATCCGAGACTGGCTGGACTCATTGTCAGCAAAATTATCAATTAAACATTTCGGCATCGCATGGCATTTTTCGAGTTTAAAAACATTTTCTCTTGTAACTAGGTGCAGGCTTATCGCCGTAAATAATTGTACAAATGAGTATCAAATTAATTCCTCATTATTAGGATTCATTAATTTAATTATTATTACGAATTATATTATTATTATTATTATTTTGTGCCATTGTTTCAAAAACAAAAATTCTTTTTTTTATTCTAATGGTGTGACTAATGTTATTCTCTTATCACTAACATGTAAAAATGAAAATAACCAAGATGTAAGCGAGAAGTTCCCACGACTAGGAACATTTCCCGTTCCGGAATTCAATATGACTGCGAAGGAAGTTTCACAGGGTTATTTTGTGGCATTGACACCGTCAACATTTAACTTTTTTCTTTTTTTCTCTCCCAGGTAATATCATGCCTCGGTAGTCGCCGAGATAATAATGAGACAAACCGAGCGCCATAGCGATTACCCCATGCGGGGAATCATTATATTTTCCCAATTTTAAATTATTTTTATTGTCACATTAATTATTTATTTGTTACCCAATCAGGATCAAAATCTAGGCATATGAAGAAAATTTTTATGTAAAATAATATTAAGACCCGGTGTAACATAAAGTTGATGCAATAAAAAAAAAAGAAAAAATAGGTTTGGGTGCGGTTTACGCGAGGCGGTTGTGGGAGGATGGTTGTGCCAATGACCGATGGAATAATGAGACCGGATCTCAGGAAATTAATGAAAAATACTCAAGATCAAGTTCAATGATGAAAGTCGAGGGGGAGAGAGATGTTACAGATTTCGAGTATATGAAACGCAATACACAACTCCATCTCCACATTTTTTTTCTACTGCATCCCTTGAATCCTTCTATTTCCAGCTATTTCCAGTGGGGGAAAAATAAAAAAAAAACCAATTGCCTTTTTTTCTCCAATTGAATATTTAAAAGATAAAAATCATCTCTGAAAAATGATAAAACCTCTGTCATTGATAAGATGAGAGAATCATGTGGTAAAATTGTCAGAAAATAGAAAGGAGTTGTGGATACAAACCGAGAAAGTTATCACGCAAATTGCAGTCTCAAGGTGCATTGAGATGCTTGTGGCTTTCAAAAAACCCGTCAAAATAAAAACAATAAATAAATAAAAAGTAGTGATTCTACTTTAATACCGTGAAATTCAACTGCTTGGGTCATAAATCAAAACGGACTTTCACACTAGTTTCCGTCGTTTCATCAGCGTTCCTCTGGTGGGTGTATCATTTGCTCCGAAGATCGTGCATTAACTATTAATCCACCAACTGGATCATTAATAGTGGGAAAAGAAAGTGATGTTAAATGAGATGTTAAAAATTGCATAATGCTGGATCCGTTCTCTTATTTATTTGAGCAAAATATGAGGCGACCGATAGGAAAGTGTGGGTGAAAGGATTCAATTCAGGATGAAAGCAAAATCTATAACTTTACCTAATTCAGTTAGTACGATGAGTTTACTCGAATATAATTAAATAATTTAATAATATTAATCCATTTTGATTGATTCACTGGAGGAAAATTATGGTTTGTGAATATAAATGAATATGTGTGAAAAAAACAAACATTGAATTGATGGAAGATAAAAGAATTGATGGTTAGATAAAATTTGAGTGAAAAATCATTTTTATCTCGGCATGAAGTGTCGGTTGTGTAACTTTTTTTTTTTTTTTTTTTCAATTCAAGTGGAAGATTCCGACAAAAGTTTATTATTCCTCGAAGCAATGAACCCTGAAGAAGTAGTGTACATCGTTTATTCATGTTGGATACACCATGGCGATTTCCATACTCGACCCACGAGCAAAACTCCCACCATTGGAAAATATAAAAATTTGCAATGTGGGAAAGTTTGATTAGGCACCATAATTTGCATGGGCACGCGAAAACACTTGTTTGTTGTATTGACTTGAGAGGAAAATCACTGCTAGTCTTTCGAAATTTCCAACGAGCCATTAGTTTTTTTAAGAGACCCCAATAACACCCCAAGTTTTTGTTATTTTACCCTCTGAATTGTTTTTTTTTGTCATTAACGAAATAGAAAGTGAGGCAAAAGTCAAATGATAAATAGAGAGTCATATCTTGTATATATAATAGATGATATATTAAAATAATGATATATTGTTCAATGTAATATAAATTAGTATTAAAAATGAGAATTCTGTAGTTCCGAAAGGTTGTAAAAAGAAATTCAGAAAATTTTCCTCCATTCTCAATGAACACACATTGAGAAGCCCTGAGTCGCGTGGCAGCCACGAGGTGAAAGGATGGAAAACAGGGGAAAAAAAATCTGCACAAGAATAGACCGGAGTGAAATAAAAAAAAAAAGGAGGGAGAGGAATAAATTAATGAAGGGAGTGGGGAAGAATTGGAGGAGGAAGCGACGAATGTGGAGTAGAATTGCATGGGGTACGAGGAGGATTGAGGATTGAGGATTGGTAACGGGGCCGTCGCATACACCGGTTGTTTGGTGGTGAAGGCACCTTTTTCCCAACCTCGGTATGTAGTAGGAGTCAGTAGAAGTCTTCTTAGTCCATCGAGAATCAGGGAACGATTCACAACTCCACTCACCTACCGTTCGTGAATTTCCAGTCTCCTCAATTTTTCGTACAATAACAATTTTTGTGAATTTATTAGTTGCAATTATTTTTCGAGGCTCATGAAAAATGTCCAATTATTTTTATCGAAATAATTAATTTTTCTAATAGTACAATTAAAGTTGCAATTGCGATGAAGTTACATGATTTTTTTTTGTATCAATTGAAATATTGATAGCGCGAAATATAGGGTATCGTGGCATCATGAAGTGACACTGATTTTCCGCGATATTTAATAACTGGAGGTTGACAATTGATTGATGATTGATTGAAGGCTGTGGGTGAGAGCAGTGGGGGGATGCTATTCCAGTTGTTTCAATTATTAATGGCAATTGAGTGATGTAGGGACACTGGGATTTCACCATTTTGTGGAGATTTATTATTAAGTATTTTGGTGATCGAGTGATTATGATGGTAAAGGACAATGTCTGGAGGCAACGACGAATCGCTGTTCCCAAGAGGTAAATCGGCATTTGCACAAATACTTATTTACCATTTGTATCTCATAATAAGCATTCAAGTATCGCTAATCATTATATTGATAAAAATTCAATTACACAAATGAGAGATCTACTGACTTGCTGCAAAAAATATAAATCATTTGTTTGGGTGTAATGATTAATTCGATGCAGTTGGCGATGCGTACGTTCCCAGAGTCGATTCGTACTCCACCTTAACGGAACGGGCAATCTTTACACGTTTGTCCGTTCGACACGGAAATGTCGAGACTTTGAAATAATGATTGCCACCATTAGTTCGAGGTGGAATTTTAGAATCGTCATTGTCAGTTTAAGTAATTCATGAGCACTGGGAAATTAACTCCGCAGTGGAGAATTTTTAATTTTTTCAATCATCTATCTTGAAAACTATCGATTCAACGAAAAAAAATTTATTCAAAATCTATAATTCTTCAGATCAATCGATATTTTTGGGGAAAAAAATCAACTTGTCATCTCATCATTTTTGCGTAAACTTATTCCTTGAAATGCTGAAAAAATTTTCCCAAAAATTTCTACAATTCTTTAACTACAACAACCACAACAACAAATTCCATTATTGTTATTATCATTTTGTCTATATTTTATCTGAGAAATTATCGAGTTGAAGATATTCTTTAACTCATTATCAAATTAAAAAATAATTCTTCAATTGTTTCGACGCCATATCCTCATACCACCTTGCATAAACATTTGCCTATTTAATGGAAAAAAAGACGCTGAGTAAATGACGATAAAATCTCGGCGGTAAAAGGCACTATAAATTGTATATATAAATTCTAATATTAAAAATCATTTATTTTCAGAACCAGCGAGCTCGTCGCCCTCATCGCCCTCTCTAGCACTCTCTTCCTCTTTTTACACACGCGTGATCTTCATTCGCGATTACGCGAGATGGAAGTGAAATTGCAGCCAGGGGATAGCGAAATTTCGGCCAATCAGATATCAATCGGTAAAATAATTAACTCACCAATTACAATAGCATATTCTCCGGTAATGATTGAATTAACAATTCAATATGTATTGTTGGATTTTATATTGGGAGGGTAAGAGTAACTCGAGATTTAATATCAAGTTCTCGTCAATTTCCCGGTGAGAAAAAAACAAAAAAAAAAATAAATAAGAATCCCCGAGCGGATTACGCTAGCCATAAGCTTGCATGCGCATTGGTAATTTTGTGCAAGTATAATATAAAAATAACGCGAGAGACTTGAGGATCTGGAATTCCTTGATGTGCATATATGTATACACAAGCCCAAGTCATGACCCCTCGCTGATCTTTCACCAGCACGTGAGCCAGTCCATCTCATAAAGTACACGTACACACATTAAGTACATTAAACTCACCCAGGGGTATATCAAGTTGGATTTGTAACGGTAAACGGCGGGGTTAAATGAGCCCCTCATTTGCGTCCAATCACGAACTGTGTTGTTAATTAGTCCTAATTCCAACTGTCACTTAACCACACCAAATTACCAGGGGAAAATCAATGAATGATTAATCAACAGGTCAACGTCACCCAGACAATTCCCAAGTAAAAAGTCTCACCAGAAAAAAAAATGAAGAACGCCGAGGAAGGAAGAGATTAACCGTCAGAATCTGTTGAATCCATTAGTCGAATAAAAAGAGTTCTGCTATTTACCATGTGAATTATATTTTCAAAGAGAACTCACTTGCTTACACCATGCACTTATTCGAGGAATAATGGCAGAAACATTGCACAATAATTACGCGGAGTTGCCCCGACTTGAATTGGATGATAATGAGAAGGCGAGTTATAGACTAGCCAGAATTTATGTTGTAAAACTATGATAATAATAACTCAAACTGTGATGAGAGATGGACTGATCCTAGTGACCAGTGCTGGATCCTATTGTTAATTACCTATTATTTCACGGGAGACACTAATGGCGCAGTAAACCTAAATTTAATGAACATTAACGCTTCTATCGGTGTTTCACTTTAATTGTGAAGAAGAGCCACTTCCGGCTTTTCGCTATACCAGTTACGGAATACATCCTATCAATTTAACTTATGAATTAACCAATATTACCCTTGATAATACTAATTAGTTGTTCGATCGTCAATTTTTATGGATTGCCAGCTAAACTTCCGGTGGTCGGAAAGATCTGCATGAAAAAACATCATTTCATCATCATCATCATTTTCTTAGTTGATTATTCAAACGGTTTTTTCATCATTATATCATTATTCTTATTGATGTCATTAGTTTTTCCATTTGATCGACGATTTTTCGTCATCATGATGGATTTTCCAATGGTTTTTGGTGTGAATTTACGCGCACAACTTGATGAGACATTATGGTTTAGCAATTGACAACTGGAGTAACGCACAATTATATAAATGGAAGAATCAAAAAGATTTCCACCGCTGAAGTGAAATATTTGTGTGAAATATTTCAAATAATTTCCTCGTGTTGCCAATTATTCACACGCCTCAAATTACACGGTGGTTACAAGTGCTCGGCCTTCGGTGTTACAAGTCTCGTTGAAGACTGCACGAAAGACTGCACTGTCAGCAATTAGTACAAAAAAAAAGAAAAAAAAAGAAAAGAAAAGAAGTAAAAAATGTTGGGATGCAATTTCTGGACAATCGAATGCAGATTTTCAAGTTAAAATCACGACACAATGAAATTCAGATTGCGATAAAAATTGCGTCAAGTAAAAACGGTACATATCATTATTTAAATCGATGATAAAAAAAAAGAAAAAAACCCCTTGAGGAATTAGGTACATGTAAACTGGAATTTAACGAGATTTCCGGTTTTCCCAGATCAGTCGATCTCTGTCTGCAGTCCAATGATAAAATAAAATGAAATGTCTGAATTGAAAATAGAAAATAAATGACAAACCGGAACTCGAACAAACGACTATTTCATACGAGACACGCAATTAAACCAGTGGGACAGTTTCTTCTGGTGGTATAAAAGGAAGAGATACAGAATTTTCAAAGTGCATTTTCCCGTCTCGAACCGGACTTTCAATCTTCCATTTATGGTTAACCAACATTGACCCGTTGGAATTCCGTGTAAAACGCTGTTGAATCACGTTGTGGGTTCGGGCAAATGGGGGGAAAAGAGTGAAGTGATGCATTAAAAAGAGACAATGTGAGATTGTGGAAGTTGATGAAGAAGGGATTGTGTGCGTGCATTTATGCGTCGCAACACAAATGCTTGTTCGTGCTGGCCAACAACCGTTGCTCACCCTTATGGCATTGACACACCGCAAATACTAGTAAAATTACCTATACTCCCACCCTTCAACCTTCTTTTTTAATTCGCCCTGAAAATATCGTCGTATAAAAAAAAATGTAAACGTCCGTTAGAATTTTACCTTTTCTTTTTCCGAATTCCAAGAAATTTTCCATAGGCAAATGAGTATATTAAAAAAAAAAATATATAATTTTAATATGAGCTCATTCACAGCTGTTTTTCCAGTCTATTTTCACGTGTTCTCCAGTACGGCATCAACCTCGACACGGTTATATTTAAAAAAGGAAAAAAAAAACAAAGAAAATGATGAAAATCAGGTCGTGGCATACAATGGTATAGAGTCTATAGAGGAATGAACAATGTGGGAACAGGTGTATTGAGTTCTTTGATCTAGTCTATTGCCCCTTGTGTCCCAATCCATATTTTTCCCTAGAAAACAAATTACGCGGAGAGTCTAATCATAACTCGTGTGATGAGAGAGAGAGATGAAATGACTGAACTTGTGTAAAGGCATTTTGAGTTTTCAATCAGTTGGTAATTTGGTTTTTGAGTTAATGATTTGGCCCTGTGGTCATTTCGTTGAAAATCATTAGAAAGAACGGAAAGATGAAAGTTCTGGACGATGGGTTTGTGTTCCAAGCAATTAGCCCGGAAGATCGAGCTTGAGGCAATAGTTGACGGAGGAAAAGAAAAAAAAAAAACTAAAACGATCGTCTACTTTCCCAAGTTCTGGGTCAACAGGTACCTGACATCCTCCGTCGTGGTTGGACACCAGGAAGTATCCGATGGGTTTTCAATTTGGAATTGTGGTGCTCTTCCATGGGGATAAGACACGTGAGAATGTAAATGGTTTGCAAAGGAGAAAAAATGTGTGGAAGGGTCAGTTTACGATGATTCTCTCTTTAGAATGGCAAAAGAGAAGGTTTCAACTTTCTCCGGAGATGCGTGAAGTATCCGATGGGGAGTGTTTTATCTTTCTTCTTACTTCACCCGTGAAAACCAGAGCTATCCTACTTTTTTTACATATGAATCACGATCACCAACCAATTCTCTCAACTATAGGGGAATGCGTGAAGAATTTCCGACTTGTATGGGAATTTTCTCCTGTCGTGGGAGAGAAATGTCGAAAGGGTGGGGCTTTCCTCTCTGAAGCACTTTGATGACGATCTGCACCAGATCCTGTGGCCTTTCACACTCTTCTTTAAAATTACTGACTTTATCGCTAGCTATTATCTGCACGAGCTCCACCAAGTATTTCATGATGTTGATATTTATCTGGGAGGCGTTTTTTTTTTATTTTAAATTCTGCAACTGATTTTCACTTGTCAAATTCATTTATTTTTAACTATAACTTGATGACTTTTTCAAGACTTGTTGTTTCTGCTTAGAAACAATTGCTCGACTGATTGTAATCGACCAATGTTTTTCATTCCTTCATTGCTTTTCCAGAAGACGTGCAATCGGGCCTTGGAGCTCAGCCGCTCATGGGGCCCAAAAGAACGAGTACAGAATCGGTAAGACCCATTTTTTAAGCTCCATTCTCTCGGGTAAAAAAAAAAAAAATACCCCGTAAAGATGTTACTGTTAGTCCCAGGATCTCGGCCACCGCTCGTTGACGTTCCAATTATCTTCTTGTAACTGTTAAGAAAGAAAATTGCGGGCACTACATTCGGCGAGAGATTTGTGGGGTTTTTTCTTGAGTTTTTGCTGAGGTAATTGACTTTCTTACATCTGTTCCTCAACTTTACAGGCGCATTTCTCATGACGCCATTGTTATGATGCTACACCACAATTATTACCACCAGTAGAAAATTCACTTTATGTATACTGACAATTAATGTCGCTATAATTATCGGATTATTGGGGTTTTAGTGCATTAGAGCAGAGAAGTTATCATTGTAAATGGTAAATTCCATGCGTTAATTTCTTTCAGTTTTTACATTTGCGCGTTGAACTCTTAGTGAAAATTCACAGAAACTCGGGTAGAAAACCATTGAGGAAAGGAAAAGCATAAAGAAATTTTTTATATTTAATCGTTGTAAAATGTGCAAGAAAGAAATGTGAAAGAAATTTAGAGTAATTGCTTTTTACTTTAATCGCTGGATATTATTAGATGAGTACTCGCCCCTGAAATTATCATCTGTGTCGCCTTTTCCCGAGGTTTCGGTCGAGTTGCGTAATTTTTAACGGTAAAAATAGTCAGACGTCAGTGACCCCGACAGAAGAAATGTGAAGTGAAGAAAAAATATCGGGATAGTGAATTTTTTTATTTGATTTTTATTGGCCAATAAAAATCATAAAATTGTGGAACTAGAACTCGCGTTGATACGCCAATTAATATTTTCTCATTATTCAGATGATTGGGACGTATATGGAGAGATTGAATTTCATGTTCGCTGTCCAAATCGGGGCCAATTCAACCGCTCCCACTACGTGATTTCGAGTGATTTCGAGTGATTTCGAGTGATTTTGCATTTCACTTAATCTCATGTGCAATTTTATTAAATTTCTAGTTTTTTCTCTTTTGATCTCCTCATACCAATTTTCATAAGCCCAAAAAAAAATAATTGATTTAAATCTTGATTTCAACTAAAAATCCTCATAAAAATATCCAAAATGTGTGGTAATTTAAAAAGAAAAAAAGATAAAAAAATATTAAACTTCTAATTTAATATACGGCTGTTAAAGTTGTATTAATATAATTGGGAATTCCTCCCAATCATATTTTAAAATGTATTTTTATAAAATGTTTGTGTAGTACGAGCATTTGGATTGTCTGGATCTCAACGAGCTGAATAATACGAAACGAGCGGATAAACATGTATTATTCTTCAATCGTGTACCTAAGGTCGGTTCACAGACCTTTATGCAACTCCTGAGGAGACTCTCGATGAGGAATGGCTTTGCCTTCAACCGAGATCAAGTGCAACGGGTTGAGACCATCAGACTGGCGCCTTATGAACAGGTAAGCTCTACCTCCCGAGGATAAATTTCACTCAGGATTATTGAGCTTCTCTATGGTCTCGGTTTTATGTTTTCAGCGTCAGCTTGTGAGGCTCGTTAACAGCTATTCTGAGCCCTCGGTCTATGTCAAACACGTATGCTTCACCAATTTTTCAGAGTGAGTTGAAGTTGAAGTTGAAATTGATGACAATGTGCATTTAAAAAATCGAAAATTGAAAATTCTCAATTCCCATAATTTTTCATTGATTACGTATAAAATAATATTTATCCGATATATAATGAATAATGAAATGTTAATTAATGGGAATTTATACTGACACGAGACACTGACCATTGGTATAATACGCAACTGATGAAAGTCATTTCGTCATATAATGGATGCCATTGGGAGAAAAATGAGCTGTTATGTTACGTTATCGCGATGGTGATTTTAAAAAAATCTTGGCAGGTTCAATCTTCCTCAGCCGATCTACATGAACGTCGTTCGGGATCCGGTTGAACGAGTTATATCCTGGTATTACTACGTTCGTGCGCCCTGGTACTACGTAGAGAGGAAGCAAATATTCCCAGACTTACCACTGCCAGATCCTGAGTGGTTGAAGAAGGACTTTGAGAGTTGTGTATTGAATGGAGATCGCGAGTGCAGATACATCGAGGGAGAGTACCATGAGGGCATTGGAGATCATAGGAGACAGACGTTATTCTTTTGCGGTCACAGTGAAAAGTGCACGTACGTTTTTCCCAAGGAATTCCATTTTCGTCTTCATCGGCACGAAAATAAAAAATGCTACTTCTCTGGAAAATCTCATCAATTTTTTTCTATTTATTATATATTATTATAACTCGAGTAATTGTCAATTTTCCATTGTAAATTATTGCTAAAAGAAGCTGCATAATGAGAGATTTTTTTAATGAAATTTTTCGGAAAAATTAACGCAAATTCCACTCAATCCGAATGAACATTTTTTTCTCTAATTCATATGCTAATAAGTCGAAGACAAGCGGGTTACGCTTATTACGCCCTTGATTAGTCCATCGACTTTGTGGTTTGGTTTCTAGGCCTTTCAACACCGTGGGAGCATTAGAAAGAGCCAAACTTTCAGTTGAAAAGCATTACTCAGTAGTTGGTGTTCTTGAGGATGTTAATACAACGCTGACGGTTTTAGAAAATTATATTCCACAATTTTTTGAAGGTGCAAAGGAGCTCTATTGGGGTAATAAAATTTTATCAACAGCTCAAATAATTTAATTACCCCTTATAATTACAAGGGGAATAAAATCTTTTAGCCATCAATTAACTATTTTTCCGTTTGTTCCAGATGAGATGAATTCGTTCAAAAGAATAAATCGCAATTCTTTCAAGCCCCCGGTGAGTGAGGAAGTTAAAGAAATGGTTCGTCGTAATTTCACCCGTGAAATTGAATTTTATCAGTTCTGCCGGCAACGATTGCACCGGCAATTTCATGCCCTAAAGCTCTCACCGGCATTATCAACAATTCAAGATAGTGGAAATAGTCTCTAGGAAGTAGTGAATTTCATCGTTTTTTTTTTTTTTTTTTTTTTATGGGGATAATAAAAATCATGCAACTGTTCATGTGATATAAATAAAAAGACTATAATTAATCCTAATGGATTAGGGATCTGAGAGAAATTAGACGATGGTCTGATTATCCAATCGATCACGAGGTATCGACGAATTCCAATTGGTGATTGATCGATTGGCCAATTGCGATTAACCCACAGAGCCAAGAAATTGTTCGTCATCCAAGGGTTCGTCACTATAAATGCCTCGCTCGGGGCAAGGCTTAAAAAAAATCATGGCAAAAGGTTATGATTAATTCCCCCCACCCCAAAGAAAAAAAAATTCATTAGTGAATCAATTGCCAAATGAGATTGTCAAAGTCTGGAAGTTATTTCGTTAAATTTATTGTCTTAATATAACAACTTTTGCAGATAACTTTATTGTTTGTATATGAATAATGATACGTAGACTCTCAGGTCTCTAAAATCTCGTTCCCTCTGTCACTCGATAATTAATCATTCATCACCCCTCACTCCTCCATCGGACCAATAACATTGATACATTATTTAACATCCATAAACATCTCGAGATCTCTCGACTGTATTTACATAATTCAATCTGTTGTCATTTGAGGGACAAGAGGAGCAAGCTTCATTGTGTAAAATATTTCGTCAATGTAACCGTTTAATTCTCTGTACAAAGTAAATAACGCATTTCCATACATGATTTGTTTTATTAAATATTCTCCCTTTCTCCATTATTTATGCTCAAAAATATTTATATTCAGTCGGTTAATGACTTCCTGGACAGAATGATACTTGAGGCCTTCAATTGAGTATTTTATTTAGAATGCTTTACTGTAGAAAAATATAAAGATCGCATTCTTCATTTTTTGCTAATACACAACTTTTTTTTATTTCACGCACGAAAAAAATTTCATAGAACAACAAGTAATTATATACAATTTTTGGCTCACTTTGCCTGACCTAATACGATTTTTTTTTTCTCAGGTTTAGGCCTGGTAAGCGTTACTTTTAATTTTTTATCACATATATTGTGGAGGAAAAAATGATTTGTCCTTCTGAGAAAATTCCTTCACACGTGATGATTTGGAACTCCAACGAGCAAGTATCTCTTAGGAAGAGTGAGCATTATCGAGGGTAATAGTACAATAAATTTTGTCAAGACAAAAATAAATCAAACTAAAAATTAAATCTTGTGCAATAACTACCATCATTCATCAGTGTATTCATGCAGTCTTACCCCAGTCTCTCACAGCCTATTGTTAATTAACACCTCGATAAAATGATATTTAAAAAATCTAATTAATGTGCTGATTCGAGTCGATCTGAAGAGGCAAACATAATCCCCTTCAGAGCGACTAGAGCATTCGAAATAAATGTTAAGAATATAAAAATATGACCAATTGTTTGACACGTTTCCACAGCAATTCAACAAATAATATCCTTTCACGCAGCTTCATCGTTTCGTTTCATTTCGTTTTTCTACTCGGACCCATCTCGCATAAGCGAAAGCTCAAAACGATGAAAAAAAATCTAATCCATTCTTAATACACTGGTAATAGCAACCTTAATTCGTACTAAAGCATCGAGCACGATTTTTCAGTAATAAGAATAAAGAAAAGATAATCTTTATGTACAATTCATTAATTCAGTGAGGTTTTATCTCGGAATTGATGGGTTCTGGGAGAAAACACTGTTAAAATTTAATTTTCCATAAACAACACCCAAATACCCCGGAAAATCGCTAATTAACCCCCTAATTCACAAATAATCAATGAGAGAACTTTTTTCAAATAGAAATCAGTAAGAAAATGACATAAATTTTCCAATCATCGATTTTATCTTGAAGAAAAAAAAAAAAAAACAATTAAATTTATATAAAAACAAAAGAGGACTTTTTTTTTCTATAGAAGATAGAAAATTTACTGAGCTACAAAAGTACTCGAGTTTCTCTTTAGCTTCTCATAAAATCAATGATTTTCCAAATAAATCGATAATTGGACCTTTTTTAAATGTTGTTATAAGAAAAATTAGCGTGAATGTTTTCCCTGGATTCAATAAAAGGCTGGAGCCCAGTCATGACTGACCCCCCCAGCCCCAATCCCCAAGTAACTGTTGTTCGTTGTCATTGGAAGACACTGAAAGCAGTAATTAATCCCAGCATTGTTATCCCAGTACTGGACGCCCTTGCACTGAAACCTCACAGCCATCTCGAGTCTCTGGCCGACCCTGAGCGTGTGACAATAGAGCATAAAAGTGAATTTATCACTAAAGCCATCGCACGATCCATTGACATAAAGTGCTTGAACATCGTTGAATGTTCTCCAGCAGTCCATGGTGTATCTGACGTGCACAGATTTGTGAAAATCGAGATTTCTCACCCTGACGCTGCCCTTGAGACAGAGAGTGATTGGATCCTGAACTATAACATTCTCCAGACACACCTGACGATCCCTAACGAGATCCAGAAAGTTGGCAAGTCCCCCAGGTTGCTGGAACATGGGTACCAGTATTCTGTCAGGTCTACCAAGTCCAATACCCATTCCCCCAATGCCTCCATTGGTGGGACTAGATCCATAGAGACTTGGGCTCGAGTCCTTGTGAAAAACGTCGTCGTAAATCAGATCAGAATACGCTGAATTTGGTACCTTGGGTATTTCATCGAGAAAAGTCCTGACATCAGCGAGATCGAGTCCAAGAACATCAGCGAATCTCACGATTTTCTTTCTTCCAGGAGTGCCAGGTGGTGTTTTTCCAGTCTTGAGAGAAGAGCATCTCCTCACTCTTTGGGGTCTCTCGTCCTCCTCGCAGCCCTCGGGGCTCTCGAGCTCCTCTCTATCACTCTCAAAGCTACCACGAGGTGAACACGATAGCTTTTTCAACAGCCTGGACACCTCCTCACCTTCACCAATTGTCATATTCACTTGAGTCGTCAGAGTTTCATCGAGATTGGATTTCACATTGGGACACTCGACTTCGAGGGCCCCAGGGATGTTGAACGTCGAGCTGTATGTCGAGTGGTCCTCACTTTCACCCTTGGTATTCGACTCTTCCACAACGCATTTATCTCCATTGCAGTAATTTATTGTCTCCTCCCTTTCCTCTTTCCAGTTCACATCGTTAGCCACATGATCGACTTCATCAGGGCCAATTGACTCCAGGTCGATTGCCGCCATCTTCATAACCCCAGGGATGATTTCAGAGTCAGAATGGGACTTGAGGAATCTCGTCTCGGTGGGTGCAGATGATGCAAAGGAGACGTCGTCCTGTAGGGAGACTGTGGACTCGTCGAAAGTACTCCAGAGGGATTCGTGGCTCGGTGAAGTAGTCTCCAGAGAGCTGGCGACCTCAAGGGACTCGTCGGAGCTGTTGGCAATTCTTATTGCTTGTATTCTCGGTTCCTTAATGCCATTGGAGAGACTTGACTCCTCTGAGGTGTCCTGGTGTCCATTGACTGATGTCTCTCTTCGGCGACCTGGGGGCTTGTGGATGTGGGGCATATCACCGTTGGAGAGAATATCGCTGGACGATGTGATGGGATCAAAGAAATCGTCGGTTCTTGTTTTATCGGAGGACTCTGGATCGTAATATGCATCGCTGTCGGAGGGTGTCGCCCCGTCCAGCGGTGACGAGAAAACGTATCCGGAGGACTCTCGATCCTGGCTGTCTTCCACGTGTTTCTGACAGGTGCACGGCTCGTGGCACTTTAACAGTTTCGATGTATTTACAAGAAGATTGGCGAATTCTGCTGCTGAGACAACTTCCTCGGGGGATCCGGGGTCCTGTGCGTCACCCGGAAAGTGCTCCGGAAAGTGCTCCGAAAAGTGCTCCGGAAAATTAAAGTCGTAGTAAAGATCGGACTCGGGACTGTGCCGCGGCTGGGAGTCGTGGACTCGGGAGGATTTCTCTAGATGATGGTTAGTAGTGTGCAGCCAGGATGTCTCTGTTGGGTTGCAGGTGTTGTTCTCGGTGCCGCTCAAGGATGTGAGTCGACGGTGGAGACGACGGGCAAATGCCTCTGCCCGACCCCGACAGCTTGTCGGGAAGAGTGTACCTACTAGACCGCAGCTTGATGCTGTACTCCCGGGGCAGTGATCCGGTTTTGCTGGCTCTGTACTTGACATCGCGCAAAGCGGGGATGAGGCCGCCTCGGCCTGCAGAATTACCTGGGGGCGATTCTGTAAGAAAAATATTCAGTTAGTGAGAATGGCAAGTTCTCTTCCAAATAATTATATAATAATATCTATCAAGCATTGCCAATTAATAATTAAAATAAAAAATAATTTCACATATGATTTGTCTCATTAGAATCGCCTCTCTTCCACAAATTTGTCTTTTTCCCTCCAAGAATTGGAGATAAGTCGGCGGCGCCTCACTTATCAAAACGATTACCCTCATTCATCAAGATAAAAAAAACCCAAAAATAAAATAATCTCCAACAAACCTCGATGGTATGAACGTGTAAATGCATCTTCATAATATCAGTCACGCAAGGTGAGCGTGCAATTGCGAAAGATTGATGTCAAATTCTCAAGTGTCATACGATCAAGGCCCACAATTAGATAAGCAAGTCTCTGCGGTAACGATTTATCTTGCACACATCAAATAACAAATGAACACTTCAATTTCCCTAGAATAATATCAAAAAATTCTCTCAATTAAAAAAAAAAACACGCGGACCATCAAATAAACTTGATGGTGTTATTATTAAATTGTTTTGTCAAGTGATTTTTCAACATATTCAGGGGTTCAGATTCAGTATTGAACGTTCAGCCGCTGGCAATAGCTAAATCACTTTCGTCCATACGTTTATTCCAACAATTGACGACAATCAGATCCAATCATCATTCCCCAGTATTATTGTCTCTGGTCAAACGGTTGGTCTATCTCTTGTCAACTAAAAGACAAGACTACAACACGTTAACACGCGAGAAAACCACGAGGTGAATTACCTCAACGTATACAATCTATTACGTAAGATATCTATTCGCCTAGACTGTATAGATATAGACGAGTTCAATGGTCTTTTATTCACGTCCTTGTAGAAATTATTGATGCACGGATATTTGCATTCTCATGAGCTATTCAACATTTAGAATTTTATGCGAATTACCACTGCCAATAATTTTCACATGAATTTTCCATTAAAAGACAATTAATTTGCATTTAAAATTGTCAAATTTATGCAATTCATTTTTATCATATGAAATTAATGGATTTATTAAATTTTTATAAATTTTATAATTACACGAATTTTGGGAAAATTGTGATTTGGGAAAACTTTGGGAAGCGATTTGAAGCAGTTTAATTTTACTCGGGAGTGAAAAATTTTCACTGGTGCATATACCCCGCGGGATATTTACTGTTGCAATTCCCAAATAAATTTATTCTAATAGATCCGAAGGACTTGAAGACTATCATGACCCCATTTTCGGCAGCTGAATGCGATCTGGTGAGCCTCTGCAACAAGGTCAAGGTCTCTTGGAATTTAATTAGCTTCTCCATCATCCGTCATAACTATTACGACTAATTGCACTCGTCGGGTCGAGACTCGTGAGGTTATCGCGTCTTTATATCGTGCATTAGATGAATTTAGAATGAAAATCGATTTATTTGCGAGTGGTTGTTATGCCAGGACTGCATCGTGATCATAATCGACTGAACCTGAACTTGAATTTCCATATTTCAATTTTCCATTATCTCAAAATGATTTCATTAAGTACCCTGAATTATCATAACACACAAACTAATTCATCAATCGATTAATTAATTAATTATTCCATCACCAAAGTCATTAAATTAGATAATTCCAAGACAATGTTCTTGTTTATTAATGCGGTATCTCAAGCACTATTTATCTGCGGCGGAAATCGTGAGGAATTTTTTTTTTAACTAATTAAATTTGTTTTTTTTTTTTTTAATATTTTATATCTCCTCTAACATTTGTCCCCTAAAACTACGGCTACTGGCTTCCGGTTAATCGTGTATTTTGCCCTCACCTCGCGAAATATTGACCAATTGGTTGAGCTCATATATCAATGAATATCTCGTTGGATTATTATGAAATCGCAACGGGTGACGAATTTTATCGATATCACGCAGCGCCGAGTGTTTAACATGAGTTTAACGCGTTGAAATGGTTTTAACGATTGGCCACAATTTATTTATCTCAATGCCTCCATGTTCACTCGAGATATTAATAAGTTAAAAAAAAATAACACAAGGTTATCCCGAAATGTTTTAAAATAAACTGCACTAGATTGAGAATAACACTATAATACAAGTGAGACCGGGGAACTGCCTCGAGAGAGTGAGTTGGATGATTTGAAAATGTACCGGGACAAGTGTCCACTACATCCCACTCTTGGTTCTGAGAGTTATCGCATGGCAACCGGCTTTCAAGCAACCAGAAACAAGCTCTACATACACCTCCGGCTCGTCTTACAACCAATGTACTCTCGAGAAAAACCCCTCGACATATTTGGCCTTTTGAAATTCAAAATCATTGAAAAATCCCCCTTAATTATTTCGGTTTCCTTTTTTTTTTTAAATTTTGAAATTGAATTTTATTGCAAGTACAATCAAATTTTGAAATTCAATGTGAGTGATTAGTTATAATTATTAGAGAGTTATTTGAATATAGAGTGGTAATTTCGCATAATTTCACTTGAGATTCGGGGAATGAATGAATTTGCGATTCATTCATGCCCGCAATCCACGTAAGAAATTTGTAGTAAAATTCACTCTGACGTAAAAATACAACGAGTTCATAGTGAAATAGATATTTTTAAATCAATGGGTAAAGATTTGCAACGAAGAGATTTATGATTTTCAAAGGAAAAATTCATATTGAAGGTTTTTTTTTTTAAAATTCAACAATTTCAAGGGTGTAAACAATGAGAGTTTCAAGGATATGAATGAAGATGATTCGTCTGATTTGCCTTCGGAATTGCCGCTTGAATCTATTTTTGTACTTTCGCTATTTTTAATTCGCTCAACTCCTCTACATTTGTACTTGAATACCAGAGCTACCGTTGAAGACCAAATTTACCAGTTGCATTATTACATTTAAAACTATTTATTTATATTTTTCTCTCTTGTCCAAAAAAAAAAAAAAAGAAAAATGCTATTTGGATGGATGGGCGATCAATAGAATTTGTGATTTGGTTTAGTGAAATTGTGCAATTGCATCGTCATGATTGAACCGTTCACTGACCCCACACTGTGCTAATTACGGTGAATACTTCCTGGAAGACGTTGAAATAGCCTCCAGACGGAATACCTGAAACTCAAGTGGGGGGATTCAGTAGATAAGTGTTCAACAGGTCCAGTACTCGTAGTATACAATTTGCATGACGAGAAAGAGCTGGAGGAACCGGTCGTCATAATTTAAAGTGGACGCCTGGAGTCTCCTGTCGGGAGAAATAGTTTAAGATAAAAATAAACAATTCCGGTCGAGTCGGTTTGCCTCGAGCCCCACGTTTCTGGCTCGTGTCTGGGATTAAATTAGAAAGTCGGGACTTTTTTTCGTGACGAGAGGCTTCATCAAGGGCTGAGTCCCCAGGAAAGGCAAATATTTGTACTATTATGGTCTAGGTCGGTTATTCACATCAACACCTCCCATCAACAACTCCCATTCTCTCGCTGAATATTTTATGATGAATGATATTAAAAGCTGCAAATGGCCTTTTTCCTCGGAAATTTAATGAGCTAAAAAAAATGTCTATTGATGTGATTGATCACTTTGAAAGCACAGTTGCCGAGATAAATTGATCAACAGAGCAAGTACCAAACTCGACTTATCTCACTTTATCGCTTGAGTACGCAATTAATTTCTGTTGTTTGCGAAATTTTTAAAGAGCCACATTTAAATTCCCAGCGGGTCTCTCTTTACGTGGCCTAGGTCGGGTGCTAGCTTTAAATAATCGACAATGTTGTCAGAACGTTACCAATAACGTTTTAATAAATTCACGTGACATTGCAATGGGACAAATGTTTCTCGACTAATGACAGATCGAGGAAAAAAAATTATTTACCAATGCATACCTTGAATCGGATTACATTTCATCGAACGAATGAAGAAAATCGATAATAGCATTGAAAAATAAACTCGCGTTCATTTAAAAAATAGCACAAGAAAACAGGGGAAAATTTGAGTCAAGGATTATTTATTTTGTTCGATAGAATAAATAAGAGACGATGATGATGTGTTAATTTTACCTCGAGAATTGTCGCTATTTTCAATGAATTAAATTGAATTAAATTGGCAAAATTAATATTTTATTTTTATATGGTCAATTTTTTTGGCTCGAGTGGAGTAATGAAAATGTCTCTGAATAGTTTTCATTTTTTCTTTTTCTATTTTTAAAAAGAATTTCTAACGGTAAAACCGGTCCGCCTAAACCTTATGCGAGACTCGAACTCTAGTCTCTGTCATTCACTTCAAGAACTGTAAATAGAATCAAATTTGTTGATGAAATTGTGGCGCAAAAGTTGGAAAAAATCCACAGATTTTTCACGTCTGTTGAAATTACAGCGAATAACATGATTTTTTAAATATCCAACAACAGTTTTGTCAACAGTTTATGTTGAAAAGTGAAATTTCGAGCCATCACTGTCTAAATATAACACAATCAGACGAGCAATTCCATTCACCCTTCACCCCTCAATGTCTTTTATCAGAAAATGCCTGTATTTTACCGACAGAGTTCAAGTTTATGTTTTTCCCAGTATCAATGTTGATGGAAATGAAAAATTAAGTCACGTTAGTTTATAATGCGATCCTGGCAGTGCGACCTTTTGCGGCGATTCAGAAATAGATAAGGCGAGAAATCAAGACGAAGTTTGAAGTGAGAGTTTTATCTGCCACGAGGTGTGCAAATTTCGACCTGAACTTTTTGCTATTGAGATACCCAAGGGGATGAGAAACAGGATGGATACGTGCCAGGAATCCGCTGTGTAATAGCATTTAAAATAGAATCCGTCTGACGCCAGTAAAAATGTTATTCAACTTTTATCATCCTCTGGATACCTGTCATTTATTTACTCGCATATGCTAAAAAAAAAAATATATCGTTTGAAAATTGAACAAAGATCTGATCATTTATTTATGTTTTTTTTTTTTATTGACGACCCACGGACGTTGTGAGTATCTCGGCAATTACCACTAATTACTAACTAAATGATTTCTCATTACCCTTCTTTTTATAGAAAAAATTCACAACAAAAATTGCCAACATATTCCGAAAAATCCGGCAAATCCGGCAAATCCGGCAAAAGCACACAAAAATTTTTATGTAATGGTTTATTCTTTATTAATCGAGGGATTAGCGAATTCCTCAGGATTAATCCGTCATCCGACTGCGTCATGAGATCGAATGAGATTGTGAATTTTAAATTGCCGATAATTCTCAACCAAAACAAATCAACTCAGCTCGACCCAACTCCATTCCACTTCACTCGCCATTCCCCCATTTTTTAAAATTAAACTCAATGGAAAATTTCTCATCATTTCAATATCATATTCGATAAATAATAAATCGAGGCGCGAGAGAAAGTTCCTCAATCCGGTTTCAAAAAAAAAAAAAAAAAGTTCCCGTCGCATATGGAGTACGGAATATTCCGTGTGAAGAGACGAGGAGATTATCTTCGAGAGAAGAACGAGAAAACACCCGCCGAATGCGTGATTGATATACATAATATACTGTCTAATAAAAGCATTGAATACATATATAGAGGAATGAGTGAGTAGTGCCGATTGTCCAGAGACTTTGCATTAATCGAAATTCAGTTTTGCATGAAAAAAAAAAAATGGAATTTTTATCATTGAATTTGATGATTTGCTAGTTGAATTTGGAGGAATAATTACATATTTGGGAAATTCTTTTTTACGGTTATCACGGCATCAATGAATGGCTGGACCGCGTAATATAGATAGTGTTGGATCATAAATAAATGGTTGACTCCTACGGCTCCTACGCACTCTTTACCTCTTAATTCAAGGCATTAACGTGTCGTTAGGGCAGTGAAAAATAATAATTAAATGACTGAATGAGGATGGTATTTTATCTGACATTTTTTTCACTTAATCGTAACCTTGACATTTGTGCTTTCAGAATTAATTCCATAAAATTAGCATGGAACTGGCTTTCACTCAAAAAAATTGACAAGTTAATTCGACTATGAAAATTCATGGAAATTATCCAATATGTATTTTTAAAAAGCTATTAATACATTAAAAAATTGACTCCGTTGGATAAGCAGTGACATTTTTTTTTCTAATTCGTCAATCTCTTCGGGTAATTCATTTTTATAGAGTTGTGAAGACAAATTAATCATCACTGCAATGGAAAACCAGTTGTTTAATCATAATCTAATCTGTAAAAAAATTTTATCTCATAATTAACTAAAACCATTTCTAATTTCATTAGAAAAACTGCATGGAACTAATGAATAGTTGACATTAACCTTCACCCCAAAATTTTTAATTGACGAGTTCAACTTGTTGTTTTTCTCAGTCTTGTTGTTGTTACCGAGATCGAATAGCAAAAATTAATTCGCGTGCACAGCAAAACAAATTCACATCAATTGATTTCCTCATTATCGACAATTCAGATTATCTCTAATTTTCCAGGAGATTAAATAACTCTTTTCATTTTTCAATACTTCAATAAGTAATGAAACAGCAATCGAAAAGTTATTTGAATTTCCATTACCTTTGAATTGCATTGGCAATAATTTTTGGTGGTTCATAAAATTTTTCACAAAAAAGCTCTTATAAGAATTAAATTTGAATTCCACACCGAGTCTCTATAACAAGTCTCTACAAAAAGGCAAATTAAAAGAATAAAAGACATACTTAATTGTGACGAAGATCGGTACCTCGAAATTTTGGAAACAGCAATTGCACCTGAAAACGTGGCTCACAGGCTGGAAAAAGCACTTTTTCTCTTCTCCCCAATTACTAATAATTTTGATAATTTAATAAGCACTGATGGAGGGAATTATGACCGGCACTGGAGGAACACGCGAATACCACGTAATTGTCAAATAGCGATTACATCGGCTGATAAAAAACGAGTGGTGAAGTCGAATTGTCGTTTCGACGTACGTAAGACACTATTCGACAAGGTCGTCCAAGGTCGCAGCTGCGCACCAAGAATCATTTTCAGGTACTGTACTCACGTATTTTCATTATAGCCATGCCATTTTTTTCTTAGGCAAAAAATGCGCTGGAGGTGATAGGCAGTTGCTTTGGCAACTTCGGGGGAGAGACTGAATGCGTTTTTCATTGGGAACCAGAAGACCCTGAACTCGAATAAACCGGCACTCAAGTCTCCAAGATAAAACCAAAAGAAAATGCAAAATGTGGACACGTGGGGAGAGAATTTTTGCCGGCGCAATACAAGATAAAACGAGTGGGTGCAGTCGCCGATATAATTTTTCGATCTGCAAACCGATTTTATTCCATCGGCTTTCGAGTTTTCGCTGTGATTTCAGGGGGAAATTCGAGTAATGATTTTTCGTGGGGAGTTATTGTAATAGCGGATTTCACGGAAATTCCGAGACCTTCGGGATGACTTAAATCCCGGATTTCAAACTCGAGGCTGCGGAGCGCAAACCGGTCCGATTCATTTAAAAAATGCATTTTTTTGGAATTTATCAGTGGTTTCAATGGACTTGGGCCTTTTTTTTTTAATTTTTTTCAATTGTCTTGCGAAACGCTTATTTAAAGGTGAAGTGCTCCATTTGATATTTGATTTTTAATCGCAAACTATATAATAATAATAAAAACCTGAACAATAATCGGTGACTTTGATAAATTGTGGAAATGTTGAATTTTACAATGGCTGATGGTCAAACAATAATCAAATGTCAAACAACGAAAATTTATGAAAAATTATAGAAAAATTCACACAATCATTTTCCCTTTTTTCCCTTTCGCGCTACAAGCAGGTAGTCGATAAAGGCACAAGTGACTGAACCAACAGCGAAACAGCGGGAAAATTCAAACGCTTAATTTTTTTAATTATAGGCAAACTTGGAAAATGAGATAAAGACGTGGAATTTGAATTAACACAAGTTTCTGACCTTGGAATCAGGATTGGTTAGATGTGGAGGGCCCCTGGAGGGTGAAATTCGCCCCTGTTGTGTGAATCGCGTGCTGCCGCAGTGGATGCAGCCGCATTGCCCTTTATAGATTTACACTAGTCACAATGCCCAATTTGTCCTCAACACTAAATCACCAAAATTGTAAACTCAATGTTCCGAGCATCAGACTCTCAACGGCCAGATGAGTAATTCATTACCAAGTGTGTGAAGGGATAAGAGTTGAATTCAACGTCTTAGGATGAATGTGCGACGGATTCCCGGTTTTATCTATCACTACAAGATCCATGCAAGCTCGATTTTAGGAATGATTGCAATTATTCTCTGGCTACTGCATCACTGGGGTATTATCTGCACAAATTTGGAAGCGCGAGGACACGTTGCCAGGGTGGTGAGGCAATTTACTCGATTTATGGATTTTAGTTTCCTTTTTTTTTTTTTTTTTGAGTAAACACTGACGGAAATAAACGATGCAGGCCACTGGAAATGGCTGACCGCGCACCTTTTCACCTTTGTCCCTCATCCCCACAATCCCCACCCCATTTTCTCATTGGCGGGGAAATCGCGGGATTTTTAATGGGTCCAATGGTTTTTCACTCAATTTTCTAAGCAATTCTTCGATTCACTGATTTATTCACTCGTACAACTCCAAGTAAAACGAAAAAAATTTTTTTTTACTGGAAACCTTTTTTCCGTTAAAAAAAATGTTATTCCACTTTCAAAGATTGATGAATGACAAATGTTACATGCTTTTTTTTAAAAAAAGGGACTGAATTTTGCAGTGCGCTGATCATGTAGAAGGACCAGCCCTTGGGGTTCTCTGCAAACCGTTGTGTTCAGATCACACTATCCATTCGCTGGCCTGCGAAAGTTTGCATTCAGGGAAGGAAGCGGTTTTCTCAGCGAACTGGGAAGACACCAGAGTAGTCTTCAAAGCAGCCAAGTATATTATTCCAAATTAACAAACCCAAATTTCATCGATAATAAACGAGAACTTTAATGGATTAATTGGGTGCTATTGAAATCTCCTACTTGAATGAATTAATTTTGAAAAATATCCATAAGAATTAGAGAATAACCAAAATAGAAGAAAATATTGAGAATAATTACCAAAAGAATAGCAAGACTCACGAATTTTTACAGATTACTGACATCAATTGAGCCCTACGAGTCCCTCCATTGGTTTGACGCCCTGGGGTATAAGCACTATCCCACGGAATTGGAATTTGACAAGATGATCGGTGACCTGGTGTTCAATAAACTGAATATAACCCTGAATAAACGTCAGGTGGAACGCCTGAGTCGGCTAAGGCCAGGACACCTGGAGATCGACGAGGAGAAGCGACAATTTGAGATGGAGAACGTATGGGCTTTGCTCCAGGAGAACGAGTACCTCATCTCGATCCTCTACGAGGAGAGGGACCTCTTCCCAAGGCTTATCGGTACTTGCGGTAATTTTTACTCGGTGGAGTACGTGAGACCCTTAGAAAAACCAACGACAGCTTTTGCCAGGGAAAATTCACCCAGCGACTGGGGAGAAAGGCTCAAGATAGCTGTGATGATCATGGACCTTGTGGACGATCTCGAGAGCAATTTTCCAGAGCCTTTCTCCCTCTGTGATGTTAAGATCAATCATTTTGGTCTTTCTTTCGGGGACTCCAGGCTGAAGTACCTCGATCTACAGGCAGTTTTTCCAAAGAGCATTGCAACTAGACTCACTGCTGATGGAAGGAAATGCCGAAAACACCAAGACTGCGATTATTTTGATTGCAGATCTGTTTGTTCCGGCTTAAAACGCTGTGAGGCACCTGTGATTAATGATAACTTACAAGTGAGATAAATTTTGAATTGTCGGAATATTGAGTTAATGTAAAGTGAACAATTGGAAAAATTGCCTCGACTTGGAAGTACATTTTACTTGGAATTGGTGTTTTTTATTTCAGATAATCTGTGAGAAAATATTCCTGGGCTGGACCTTATCAGGCACCATAATAATTCCGGGACTGCTGATGTCCCGCAGAACTCCAGCAAGTCTAGCAGTTCTTCTTCGACAGTGTGCAAACCCCCATGGAGACACTGTTCACCTGCCTAGGGCGTCTGTGCCAGCAGATATTAGGAGTCGCCTTTACGATATGCTCACTGAAATGGAACGACAATATTCCAATTCTTCCTAGGCGTCGCACACATTCTCTCAAAATAGAAATCAGTAATCGATAATTAGGATAGGATAATCAGGGCCTTACTAGTCACTAGGAGTTTATCAACTCGTTTATTGCCTAATCTCAGCTAATTCGAGATTTTTCAAGCTTTAATGATGTTATCTAGGTGATTAATTAAGTAATCAGAGTATCCATTATATTATAATGATATTGATAATAATTTTCTTATATTAGGGGTAATAAATTTCTTTTAATGATTGATCTACTGACTTTTTCATATATGAATGTTAATCAATGGGTCCCAAATTTATTAGTGAATATCGTGATTCAATTAATTCATCGAGGCAATTATTTCTTTAAATCATTTAAAAAATAATTTCCAAGTCCTTTAGTTTAAAAAAAAAGCACATGGAATGGAAAGTGTAATGGACGGTGAGCCAAAGGATGCATTCTCATGTGAAAGGTTCACATGACATCTCCAAAACGTTCAAAAAATATCTCAGATCATAGATATCGCAGAGGATTTATCTAAGGAAGTGATTAATAATAAAACTCATAAAACATTCGCAAATACATTTGACAACGAGAATTTCATCAACATAGCCGGCGCTAGTAACGACAAAAAATTGACCTTTGAAATGATCTCTACTGTTTCCACCAGTAACGCCACAGTCGCTCGAATTTTTCGTTAACTTTGCCATCTTTGAGGATCGACATCGCCCACGGGATCCACTGGTGTTTCGCTATCAGAGAACATCTGATTCGAAAAAGGGCATCTCCAATTAATTTTTATGCAACCACCATCGCAATTGTCCAATATGGACTGGGGAAATTGGGGTAAATATCCCCAAGATTACAATCCGTCGATCCATGGACGCTACGATCCAGCCAAATATTATGGCAAAGGTGAGTAGTTATGACTCCATTTACACCATCTTCTCCCTCAAAACATGATTAATTAATTATCTTTTATTGCTGATGCAGCTGATGTGCCCTTTGGTCAAGTGAAACTTGGAGAACTTGGATCGTGGTTTGGTCGTCGTCAAAAGGGGCCCATCACTCTGGCCCAAATGATAGGGAGAGGTAATCCGTGTGGGCCATACTGTTGCATAATACCCTGAAAAAAATCCACGATTTATTCATTGGTTTTTCTCGTTGTTTTACACAGCTTATTGGCGTTGGCAGCATAAGTACGTTTTACCCAAAAAGTGTGGAGTTGCTCCGTTTTTCCAGGTCACAGTCGGTGCCATGATATTTTGCTATATCATCAATTATCCAAGGCTCAGTGAGTGATTAAAGTTTAATCTAATTAATGAACTGAAATGAAGATTTACTAAATTTATAACTAATTCATGAGCAATACGGTTCCTCACCGAAAAATAGTTTCATTTAAAATAATCATTTGAACAATTACCAAGTTGATTAAATTTCACATTTCAAGTCGAGTGAAAAATTCGAAAATAAAATTCAAATGCGCCTCTTGAAGGCCGAAAAATAGTCGTCAAAACAATTCCGTATTATCTCACAAATTAAATTATTCCTGCGCCATTTAGTATTGCCTGATTCCTGAAAATAGAATTGCTTAAATACATTCTATCACCTTGTTTAAACAGATATTACCTCACTCCTGTGTTCAAAGTAGAACAATAACAACGATAACGCTGTTTTCTTTTTATCATTTTTCAGGATGGCACGGACACTACAAATACCATTAAGTAACCAACTCGTGAGGAATTAAATTTTTGTGGAGGTAGAGTTCTATGTTGGCGTGTTGAACTAGTTGTTCAACTCCAATTCGTCAGTTAATTTCAATTTATCGTGTAATTATAATGAATAATAAAGACATGGTATTAAAATCACCACATCGAAAGTGTCAATTTACTATGCAATTATCTAAATATTGAAAAATCGGAAGGAAAAATGCGTAACTTCATTTTTTTTTCGCATCTCAATACTCCGTCTTCCTAAAAACTGAATATCTCAGTGCTGAGAGCCCTAAAGAAAAAAGTTGAAAAAATTTTTCCTATCGGAAATATGAATTGCTCACAAAAAAGATGTTATAAAATATTTTCGTAACCCATGCCATTCTCCCGCAAAGTGTAAAATAACGGAGACTATTGCGAAAGGCAAATGTGCCCCATTGATTCCTAGGAAATCAATGCAGTTTATTGTAAACTTCCTTAAGAATTAAACACCCCACGAAGTGCGCTCCGATTGGTGTTCCCTCCCCTCGTTGTGGAAGAAATTGGCCAATGGCATAATATTCAAGGGACAAAACTGAGGTTCACCAGCAATATGGCTGTCAGTATAAATTTGATGCTTGTAACATGCCTTTCTCTCCGAAAAATCGTCAATTACATACGTATGAATGTATTATCAAGTCATTACTTTACCGTGATGTGACTAACAGTGGTCCAATTGAATGGGAAACGGCAATGAGGGTCAGCTGATTGTCGGAAAATATATAATTCATCAATAGCCAGATATCACAGGTGAGATACTGGCTTTATTTTCCTGGCGTTGGGGTAAATCAAACGCCTCTTGCTCTTGTTTGGATCCTCCATATTGTCATGGATTACTTGAATAATTGATTTTTTTAACGGTTCCTGATGACTATTTTCCACATCATTTTTACAACCTTTCACTTTTTCCTGAGGAGTCATCAGCCTCACTTCACTCAATCCCCACTACGATTTACTTCTGGAGGTGTTATAATCATATGCACGTGAATGTTTGGGTTCTGGGATTTACAGTTACGTGGGATTCTCATTTTAATCTATTGTTTTTGGAGTGATGAGTTGGAGGTACTGATGACGAAAGAATTAAAGGCCTAGGTCAACGAAAGCTCTCAAGAAATCATTTTTGTCATTCAAAAATTAAATCTCCCATTGTTTTATGTTCAAACCATCAATTCAATAAAATCATCAGATTATGAATCAGAATTAAGGCAATTTGCATTTTAATTATTTTTTGAGAATAAAAAATTAGAGAATTCACGGAAAATTTGTAAATGTTGAACATATATATATATATATATATATATATATTTTTTTTTTTTTCCCCCGAGAGAAAATCCGATCTAAGTGGAATCCATTTCGAGGAGAGAATCAGTGATCTTTCGATTTCTCTTGAATCAACAATTTTACTGAGACAACGCCTTTCAAATAAACCGACCTATGGCCAATAATTTGCTGGCCATCAAATTAATCTGTGCAAAAAAATTTTTAAACGAAATTCAACGATTCCAGGAATATCAAAAATCATCGTCCTAGGCCGCAGCAATGGCATCCAGGTAAACCCTCTAAAACTATTGAAAATCAATATTTATAGTTGCTCAATCTTAATCGTGACTCCCACTTGTATTTGCCAGGCTCGACCGACTGTTTATATTATTGGAAACTGGCACGAATCCGGTAACAAAGCGAGCAGCTGCACAGCAGTTAGGAGAGGCCCAACGCCTCCACCCACACGAGCTGCACCATCTACTGGGTAGAGTGTCAGGATTGTTGAAATCAGCGCAGTGGGACACGAGGGTATCAGCTGCGCAGGCAATTCAGGCGATTCTGGCGCAGGTGCCGGTGTGGGAGCCAGAGCCAGTTGATAAAAAAGTAGAGTCGACGAATGGAGGAAATTCAGGGGTCGAGAGTTCCCGGGAGTGCCAGAAAAGTCGGCTGACACTCCAGGGTTTCGACATGGGTCAGGTGCTAGCAAGGAGTTCTCACCTGACAGGCTCGGAAGGGAGTGAATATGACCTGGTGATAGCAGAGAGCGAGCAAAATCTTCAGGGCCAGGGGACACAGGTGTTGGCTGCAAAGCTGGGACTACATCCCAGACTTATGGGGGTCGATCCCTCGGAGCTCTTCGGACCTGAGGACCTGACGATTCACCCCCAGCCACCCCAGACCTCGAAGATCTCAATTGACGAGACTCTGAGTGAACCTGGTGGTCTCAGCAGACGGGAGATGAACAGGGCGCGACGTAAGGCCAGACAGTCCATGTCTAAGCAACGGTCGAGGGAGCCTGACGAGGCAGAGGGTAATGATTGCAGAAAAAAGATTAAGCTGGAGGAAGTGGGTAATCCTCAGCCCCTGGAGGCTGGTGCTGCTGGTGATACTGGATTGAAGAATCAAATTGTTGAGGCAGCGTCTGCTGGTGCTGTACCTGATGGTACTGGCTGCTGGCCTGAGACCGCGATGGATTGGCCTCTGGAGATGTTCAGTGAGACTCTCTGTCAGGACCTCTTCTCCCAGAAATGGGAGGTACGTCATGGGGCAGCAACAGCCCTTCGAGAGCTCGTGAGGATCCATGGAAAGGGGGCTGGAAAGTCCAGAGACCAAACAAAAGAGGAGATGGAGGAAAGCCACCAGAGGTGGGTGGTGGACGCAGCCCTGAGACTCCTCTGCGTCCTGGGACTCGACAGATTCGGTGATTTCGTGTCCGATCAGGTGGTGGCACCTGTTCGTGAGACTTGTGCCCAGGCTCTGGGCTCCCTTGTACGCCTCATGCCACCCTGCGAGGAGTCTGGAGTCCTGGGGATCCTCAAGGTTATGTTGAAGCTGTTGAAACACGACGAGTGGGAGGCACGTCACGGCTCCCTTCTGGCCCTCAAATATCTTCTCGCTGTGAGGGATGATCTCCTGGAGCAACTGCTACCACAGGCCTTTCCAGCAGCAATGAGAGGCCTCGCAGACCCAGTGGACGACGTTGGAGCTGCAGCTGCCAGCGCTCTTATTCCTGTAGCCTCGTCCCTTCCAAAACTCCTAAAACCTGAAGAGCTTCAGGCAGTTGTGGCACGTCTCTGGGAGCTCTTACGAGAACAGGATGATCTGGCAGCTGCCTGCAACAGCTTCATGGGCCTGCTTGCAGCAATTCTCTCTCTTCCAGCTGCTCGTGCTTGTCTCTCCCCGCAGCCCCTCTCCCAGGCACTCCCCAGACTGTGGCCCTTCCTCAGTCACTCCAGCTCCAGCGTGAGAAAGGCCACACTCCAGACACTTCAAACCCTTACCGGAGAGGACGCAGATCCTCCAGAGAACAGGAAAGAACGCTGGGGAGAGGAGGGAGGAATTGTCCTCCAGGAGGCATTGCGTCACGTGTTCCAGAGGGTTTTGATAGAACATGTTTCAGCGATTCAGGAGGTGGCTGAGGGTGTCTGGGAGAATCTTGTCACCAGAAGTGACCTTGAGCTCCTTCTGCATGCAGCTTGTCCCTTGGTGAGCACCTGGCTCTGCTTAGCAATGCAGCCAGATCATGCTCCCTTCAACCCGAGTCTCCTCCATCCCCTCATCACCACACCTTCGAGACCTCTCAAGTTGATCAATGGCGATGGACAGTCTGACTCGAGTAGTTCGTCTCTGAGTGTCAGTGGTAAATCCTCATCGGAATTGAAAGTTTATATCGGAGGAATTGAGACAGTTCCCCAGATCATTAGAGTCTCAAACACTGTAAGGGCGAGAATTATGGCATCCAGGATGCTGGGACTTCTCTCAATGTACGTTGTGAAGCCAGCACCTGGGGTAATATACACCCCAGATATACCCAGTCCAGGGCTTTGCTATGCCCGAGTTCTTCTGGCACATCTTGCCTCGAGATCTGCTCTTCAAAGAACTGTCGTGGGTTTGACAATCGCGCACTGGGCCTCCCTGGAACATCCTCATCCCCCTGAGATCCCTGATATCCTCAGGGAGAAACTCCTAGGTTGTTTGAACGAGTGTGTGTACTACGACGAGATCGCTGGAGCATTCACCAGACTTCTGCACGAGAGCAAGGATTACGTAGCGACTCTGAAGCACTACAAACTCTCAATCCCAGGGGATGTTGACTCTGGGGCTAATGTCCTCACTCTCGACCAGATTGCTACCCTAGCAGGAAAACCTGTGGCAAGTATCCAGGTGATTTCAGCCTCTGGTAATTCAGCACCCAATAAATTAAAACCCAAACTTGTGACTGAACTGGAGGAGAGGAGGAGAGCTCTGGAGATTGGGGCGAGTAGTACAGCCGCGCAGCAGCAGAATCTCAATACAATGTCAATGGCTGCTCTCTCAGGTGCAGCAACTATGCTGCATTGTCTTCCTGAGCCGCCCAGGCCCCTCAATCCCCTGGTAAAACCACTGATGGAGGCTGTGAAACGAGAAGAGGACGAGGACCTCCAAAAACTCGCTGCCAAACATCTGGCCCATCTCGTTGACCTCTGCGTCGACAGAGTGCCATCCCCCAACGCCAAGATCACCACAAATCTCTGCACATTTTTGTGTTCAGACACCGAGTTCACACCCAGAGTCAGTGAGGGGGAGACTGAGCCCTTCGATGGCATTTTAACCCTCAATAACAGACAGAGACAAGCAGAGAGGGTCACCTACACGAGAGGGACTGGAGTCGGAGGGACTGGAGGTGGCAGAGGTCCTGGGAGGCCCCCAGCCACTGATATTCCCCTGGAGGAGCTCTTGGCTTTTGAGGAACCTGAAGCCAAGGCCTCCAGAACCAGACGCAGAGGTGCAACTCTTGCTTTAACAGCCATTGCATCACTCATTGGCCCATCTCTACCTTCTAGATTACCGCATCTCTGGGATATCATGGTTTCAAAAAATCAGGGCACAACAGACCCCTCCAAACCTCTTTCTGAAGAAGTCCAAAAGGATCACGTTAACAACTTGATATTCGGCCTTCAGGTGATGGAGATTGTGTCACCGAGTCTCGACAAATCCCTTCTACCCCCAGTGCTGAATTGTCTCCCACGTCTCTGTAGTCTTCTAGAGCACGAGTACAAGGGTGTCCGGCACATGGCAGCGAGGTGTATCGCAATCCTGGCTGTCCTCGATACCGAGAAAACGATGAATTTTGTGGTGAAGCTGGTGGTACCTCTCTTGGAAACTCATTCAAGTGAATCCAATTCACATATTCTGGCAGCCCCGACATCTGTCGATGTTCGAAGACAAGGGGCTACTGAGGCCCTCACCTGTATTGTCGACAGTCTAGGGGTCAATGTGGTACCCTACGCTGTCCTTTTTATGGTGCCCCTTTTAGGTAGAATGTCAGATCAAAATTATGCTGTGAGATTGGCGTGCAACGCCACATTTGCAACTCTCGTTCAGCTGCTGCCCTTAGATCCTGGGGCAATCTCTGATCCCCCGAATTTCATCGAGGAGAAGGCGCAGGAGAGAAAATTTCTGGAGCAGCTGTTAAACCCTCGAAGCATCCCGGATACTCAGCTGACAGTCCCAGTGGCAGCGGAGTTAAGGTCTTACCAACAGCAGGGGCTGAACTGGCTCGACTTTCTCAATAGGTACAAACTCCATGGAGTTCTCTGTGATGATATGGGCTTAGGAAAAACCCTCCAGACCCTCTGCATCCTCGCTCTAGATCACAACAGGAATCCCCAGGCACCTCCCAGCCTCGTAGTGTGCCCGCCCACCCTGACAGGCCACTGGGTCTACGAAGCTGAGAAATTTCTCCAGGTGAAAGATTTATCAGTAATTCAATACGGCAGATCACCGCCCGATCGAGAGAAACTCCGACCCCGACTCTTCAATTATCGACTCGTTGTTGCCAGTTATGATATTGTCAGGAAGGACATCGAGTTTTTCGAGAATATCCAGTGGAATTATTGTGTCCTCGACGAGGGTCACATCATCAAAAATGGAAAGACCAAGAGTGCTAAAGCTGCGAAAAAACTTCACGCTTATCATCGGTTGATTCTCTCAGGAACACCAGTGCAGAATGACGTCCTGGAGCTGTGGTCTCTCTTCGATTTCCTCATGCCAGGATTCTTGGGGACTGAGAAGCAATTTGCTGCGAGGTATTCGCGACCAATTGTAGCCTGTCGAGAGCCCAAAGCTGGGATCAAGGAGCAGGAGGCAGGGGCACTGGCTATGGAAGCACTACATCGACAGGTTTTGCCTTTTCTTCTGAGGAGAAACAAGGAGGATGTTCTGAAGGATCTGCCACCGAAAATTACGCAGGATTATTACTGCGATCTGTCACCCCTTCAGAGAAGTCTGTACGAGGACTTCAGAATGAGGCACTCAGCGAGTTTAATTCCAGGATCAGCTGGTGGGACAGCTGGTGGAACAGCTGGTGGGGCTAATCCCCCCAGGGGGCACGTCTTCGAAGCCCTTAGGTACCTCAGAAATGTCTGCAATCATCCTAAGCTTGTGTTGGGGCCCAGGCATCCACTTTATCAGACGATTTGCGGGCAGATGAAGCAGCAGGGGACTAGTCTGGGGGAGATAGAGCACGGGGCGAAACTCCCAGCATTGAAACAGCTCCTTCTGGACTGTGGAATTGGGCAGAATCAGGTGCAAAAGACACAGCCTGTGAGTGAGGGACAGCAGCAGCTCGTCAGTCAGCACAGGGCTCTCATATTTTGTCAGCTCAAGGCAATGCTGGATATCGTGGAGAAGGATTTACTCGCTGTTCATCTGCCCTCTGTAACGTACCTCAGGCTCGACGGAGGCGTTCCTGCTACCCAGAGGCATGCGGTTGTTGCAAGATTCAATGCTGATCCTTCTATCGATGTTTTACTCCTGACGACACAAGTTGGCGGCCTTGGGCTCAATCTCACTGGGGCAGATACTGTCATCTTCGTAGAACACGACTGGAACCCCATGAAGGATCTCCAGGCGATGGACAGGGCTCACAGGATTGGTCAGAAAAAAGTTGTCAATGTTTACAGGCTCATCACCAGGGCCACTGTCGAGGAGAAGATCATGGGACTGCAGAAGTTTAAACTCCACACTGCTAATACTGTTATTTCTATAGAGAACGCAGCACTCGAGACTATGGGAACTGAACAAGTGAGTATTTCTATTGGAGATGGAGATGTTTGTTGTTACTATTTACTATGCAATTCATAAATTTTTACAGTTACTGGATTTATTCTCATTGGATAATGGAAGGGAGAGGAGAACCGACGAACTTGGTATTCCTCGATCAGTCAGCAATGTACCTGGACTGAGTAAAACAGTGTTGGAAATACTGCCTGAACTCTGGGAACAGCAGCAGTACGACGATGAGTACGATCTCGACTCATTTCTCTCGACTCTCAAGAGCACCAGCAGTTAATAACTAAAATTTAAATTGAAAAATTTTACAACGACGTCAAGTAAGAATTGGAAGACTCTCACGTATGAGACAGCCTCAAAACTGTCAATTAAGAAATATTATCTATGTCAAATGTATGATAACGTCAAGAATCAATTCGAGCACCGATGAGTGATTTTTTTTTGTTTCTTTATTTATAATAACTTATAAAAAAAAAAACAAGGACATCATCAATACATTTCCGTATTTGTACCTGAACGGAGTTTTCGATTTTTTTTTTTTTAACATATTCCTCGGAAATTCTACACTGAGTTTTCTCAGTGAAGAAATCCAATTCCCATATCTAAAAAATTGAAACCTCCTGGTAACTGTCACCGTAGTAAAGTTTAACAGATTTTTTATCAACACCAGGAAGTCTTCGATGGTGAATTATTTAATTTATCTTTCAAATTCCTGAGCCAATAATTAATTCCACTTTTTTTTTTATGTAAAAAATTAATTTATGTCTCGTGGATAGCGGGAGATTACTTTAGAAGAGAACCGAGTTTTTAATAATTTTTTGTGGACTCGCGTCATTTTTAAGAGTTAATTCAAATACAGAAGAATTCGAAATTTTGAATACCAATACAATTGATTAATTATTTAATCAATACATTAAAAATTCAAATCATCCGATAAACTAAATAAATAAATACATCTTCGTCGGAGTTTATTTTTGTGGTTGGATTTTAAAAATTCAATCGAGTTAAAAAACTCTATAGAACGAAAAAAAAAAAAAATACCCATGAGATAACAACTCGATTTTCTAACGGAGTTAAAAAACAGAGTTAATTGATAAATATCTCCGAATCCATGTGAGATATAAAAATTTTCGTAGAAATCTTTTTCAGACCTCCCATAGATTCCACAGGCATTCCTCGTGCTACAGTCGCATCGTAAAATATTAAGAATTTTTGAAGAGCCTGTCCACCAAGTCGTCCCCCCTTACAATTTGGCCCTGGGGTCGAGATTGCCTGCAGCAAAGATATTGTGCGGATCTAAGAAAGCTTTTGTAGCCCTGTACAGCTGGACCCCAGTGTCTCCCACAGCATCAGGATAAAACCGGGCTCTCATTTTCCCCACGCCATGATGATGAGAAATGGAGCCCCCGCTCGCGATAATTTCCTCTCTGGCATTCTCCTCGATCTTCTCGTAGGTCTCCACAGGGTTATCCCTCCCCAGGTAGGTAAATCCCAAGTAAAAATAGATGCAGCAGCCAGCGTCGTAGGTCTGCGTGACACGGCAGGAAATTAAATAGTGGTTGATGGCCATTTCCTTGCAGTCCTTGGCAACTCTGGCTTTGACATTCCGGCAGAGTGAGAGGGCTCGCGACCAGGGAACAGAAGTCTCAAAGGACTCGGAAAAAACCCCAAACTCCAGTCCAAAATCTCTGATGTAAGCGATAACAAACGTCAGGATGTATCCACGTTCGCCATTAGTATCACCAGCTGCAAGACCACCAAATTCTTTGGCTATTGAGTAAATCTTCTTTTCCTGGTTGGCCACCTCCTGGTGATCATGGCCCTCGAACAGCAGAGTTGCCACACAGACTGTCCCCCAATTGAATCCCTTTATTTTCGTGACGTACGCCTGCTTGAGAGTCTGCATTATTTTATCACTGAAACCGTGTTGAGGACGCAGGGCCTGACCGAATTGAAATTGTTCATTGTCCATCAATCGTATGCTCGCTGGTTGACACCTCTGTCTTGCCACCTCCCGCATCGCTGAAACCCCAGCCTGAAAGTCTGGAAAAATCACTGATCCATATTTCACGATCTTCGGCAGTGGACGGATCTTCAGGGTGACTTCTGTGATGACTCCAAGGGTTCCCTCAGATCCCAGAATTGTTTGATCAAAGTCTGGACCACTTGAGAGTCGCGGCACTTGAGCACTACGTTCTAGGATCAGGGAACTGTCCTCTGTACGACCTGTTACCATCTTGACTCGAATCAACAAGTCCTCGATGTTGCCGTAGGTATTTTTTTTCATACCACTGGCTCGTGTTGCCACCCAACCCCCCAGACTGGAGAATTCATAGGAATCGGGTTCATGGCCTGTTGTGAAGCCCTTGAGCCTGAGCTCCCTCTCGAGGTCCTGACCAATTATACCAGTCTCGCAGCAAGCAACAAGATTCTCTTGATCGATCCACAGTATTCGATTCATCTGGGAAGTATCAAGGGATACAATGGTTCTTCTCTCGTTCTTGGGACAACTAGCTGCTCTGCTGACACTAGTTCCTCCTCCAATAGGTATGCAGGCAGCTCCATATTTCACGCATATCCTCACGATATTCTCGACATCGTCATGACATTCTGCAATGAAAAAAATACGCAAACTAGTTTTTCAATACAAATAATTGCTTTTTTCCTCGATGACACCGTTTTCCGGGCTTTTTTCTTTCCTCTTAACGTATTTGCATCGTGAATACCTCAGACTGAGAATTCATCAGTAGTGACTTTTAATAATACACTGAAATTAATTACTGGGAGGTCAACGCGACTGATGACGTAATTCTACGCTCACTCGATGGCTCTGACAGTTGAGGCCTGTCCCATTGAAATTACGAGGTAATTGTCGTCGTATCTTATCAGCAGGACAGAATAAAAGAGTTGGAAATTCAGTGGGAGGTGTAGCCGCTTGAGACTTACGGGTTTTCAAGTCATAAATGTGTTATTGTACGTAAAAATTTGTTAACCAATTCCGAGAGGATTTTTAGTCAATTTCAGAGTATTTCCATTCTGTCGAAACTTGAAATTATACATTTTTTTTCATTTCTATGAAGAATAGTTGAAAAAAAATCACATACTAGGCCAGAGGACGATGTCAGGTAGTCGTTCGATGTGTCCTCGTTTCAACTGATAAATTTCCCTTAAGGTGTGTCCATGTGCTCTGAAAAGTCTGTCCATCCCATCCAGTGAATGGGTGATCTTGAGTCCTTCGATAGCCTGCAGAAATTCTCGGGAGACATTAGCCTCCGGAAATGTATCTGGTAGAGGCTGTGGTGGACGTCTGTCCCCCAAATCAACTCCAAAGATATCTTTCACCCACTGAGTAAAATACGGCAGTTGCAAGTTGCCAATGGGGTATCTTGAATAATAATAATTAAAAATTCATGCTAATTCGTCATTGTGCAGACGCAAAAAAGATGCTCATAGCGGATGTGTTTATCCATGCATTCAGAGGCAAATGATTTTTTGTCGTCTGTATTTACTCGTTACGTAAAAAAATCAGTGAGTAAATAGTTGGAGCCGAAAAGTGGTCCTCGACACGTATGTCTTGACTTCACGTCAATTTATTTTCATAATTTCTAGGTGTGCGAATGCTAATGACGAAGGGAAAACTATTTATTCTGAGATTACATGTACTCTGACAAGTACTTTATTTTTCTCGGCAAAAATGTTTGGTCGAGGGGGATAGAAACAAACTGCGGAATACTGCCGAGTGCTAATTATTCCGGTGGAATTTTTTAAGGGGCTGTCTCTTTTTGTACTCATGGACATTTCGTGATGCAAGGATAAGTGATTGAGAGCTCATATTATTAAGAGTTTATTATTCATTGTCAGTTTTCTAAGGATAAAGTTACAAAATACCTAGGAATTTAGACTAGAGTGGAATAATTAAAAAAAAAATAAAGAAATATAAATATATTTGAAAAATTGAACGGAAAAATATTATTAATGGATTTCAGATGTAATTTTTTTGGTGATATTTAACAGAAAGATTCGAGCCATTTTGCTGTGCTAATTTTCTCTCTATTAATCTGGTTGTTTTTATAATTCTCACCTAGATCCAGTAAATTCGATAATCATTTTCTCGTTCACTCGGAATTCTGAGTCTTTGTAGCCCCAACCATTCCATTTGAGCAAATTTTGTCTAAAAAAAAAAAAATGCAACCTTCTGAAAAAATATTCTGATTCAATTTAATTATTGAATTTATTAATTAAATTGGAGCAGAAGAATTTGAAGAGATTCACCCACATTCACAGTTGTTCGGATAATATTTTTTATGATGGTTTCTCGAGAGAAAAAAACAGAGGGTTTTCACAAAGAAAATTTGAAACGAGACCCAATAATTCCAAATCAATCGATTCAATTACACGTGACAGAATCCTCCGATCCCTACTCCTCTTTCCTTCATCTCAGCGGTAAAAATTCAAACCCCAACTCTAAACAATCCTCGTCTTGATTTGGTATCAAAAGAGTACAGAGAGATAAGTGGAATTAAAGAAGAGTACTCAATGATCGATGCATCCCCGAAAATATTAATTTTAGACAAAAATATGAGAAGACCATTTATATGGGAAATTTAATCAACGACACGAAAGTCGTTGACGATTTCGCCCTTAGATCGATAGTTTTCGAGATAAATTGTCAACAATAAAAATATCCAATTGATATTTAACTCGCCATCGAAAATCCGGACCCTGGGGTTATCGGGGGACATTTCGTCGATCGATTCGTGGGTGAGAAAAAAGTTACGATGACTCATTCACATTTTCCCAGCAAAAGGGAGCAAAAGGGATCAAAAGGGAGCAAAAGCGATAAAATGGGAGAAAATCCCAGGAAGGATTTTACGAGTCCCCGGGAACGACCCACCGGCGAAAAACCCCATGGCAATGGCTATTATCAGTTTTGAAAAATTATATTAGAGTATCTGATTGACTGACCTGGTTCTCGGTATGACGCTCTGGACACTCGTGGGTCCCTTAATGATGTCCTCTGCTGGAGTCTTCCTCGACATGATATCACAACTCTGGAATTCTCTTTAACTTGGCATAACCTTTCAAATACTCTCACTGAATTCTGAGGTAGAATTCTCGAGGATGAACATTCCACGACGGAATGACACGCACTAATGTCTCATCAATTTCTCCCCCTCGTGCTACACTAGTTACTTCAAAGTAATTTCTCGTTGTCGTGCACCGGTTAAACCAAATTTAAATCGATACAGCCCCCGCCCGTTGCGCAAAGCTCCGCCCATTCTCCACTTTTCCCCCCACTTTTACTTCTCACACATGTCCAAACACTTTCGTTTTTTATGGAGGAATTCTCGTAATTATCATGTAACATATCAGCACAGATGGTATGGCAGTTTCGACTCCACATCATTTCTCCAATCTATAAAAAATAAAAATAAATAATAATTTTTTATTTTATGCAAATAATTTGTTGGAAGTATGAAATGAATTTTAGAGGGAATACTCTTTGTAGGAGTTTGTACTTCTACCATAAGTACAAGTACAACGTGGCCAATGCGATTCCGCACCTACCGACTCTACAATTACTCATTATTTGAGTACATTCCGTGTATTCCACGAGTATCACACATTCAACAGTTAAATACCTCTTGTGTGTGCGTCAGAACTGCAGTACATCAGAAGCATCATCACTTTTCCAAGGAGAAGAAATCCATTTGAATAAAATAAAAATCAGCTGGCGGATTATTGGAGGATTCAGGATCATCCAGGATCATCCAGGATCATCCAGGGCCCTATCCTTGTCTCTCAGTTTATGTAGATTATTGTTTATTAGTGCTAACAATTGACAGTAGTGATCGATCGTGTGTTTTGTGATTGAATCATGCTGATTTTCGTGTAGAGTCATAGCAGCCATTCGAACATTTTTTCTACTGCTGTAGTTTTTTGGGGTTATATTGTTGGAGATGCCTGACAGTGAAGCTGTTTATCAACCCACGACTGTCGGTTACACCTATGAAAATGGTGGTGATAGTCATGAGGGTGGACCCAGGTTAAGGAATGGATTCTCCAGGATTATGTTCAGACATAAAGTCAGCACCAGAAAGTGGCTAGAGTGGGTTTTGTTGTCGGTTGCACTTTGTGCTACTGTTGCTGGGTTCACTACACTCGTTGTCAATCTTGTGGCATCTGATGGAGTACCTGTGCCTAATAATAGTACTCAGGTATTTAGGGAGGGGGGACAGATCGAGGATGTGGTCTTGCAATTCAAAACGCAATAACATGAAAATGAAAAGTTCTGGAAAATAATTATAGAGACATATTTCGTGGGAAATTTCACGGATTACATAAAATTCCTTCGGAGATTCTTTTGTCGGACCATTGGGTCGCGAGATTATCGAAAAATAGTTCGCCATTTTATAAACGTTGATAAATCAGAGGTTACTCTTTGTATTTTGGGGGATATGGAAATTTTTTGGTTCTCTCATGGTTTCAGAGATATCCCTGAGTGATCTGTTATAGTCTTTTTCAGGGAATTCTACTCTGAATCGACTCTCATTTTTTCTGTTGATTTTGCCCTATTTACTCTCTCGATTCGTCACTGAGGCTTATTTCACCCTGATAAAGTATCTGTTGAGATTAAAATTGAAAGATATTCGCAGCAAGCGAAGAACTCATTGGTGAAGATAAAAAAAATCGTCTGTAGTTGAGCTCTAGGAAATTTCTAGCCATCATTTTTTCGTTGTAAACTTATCTACAAGATCTAAGTAAACTGTACTAGAATTAGATTTGGTAAAAGTTGTTAGAACCTTTACGAGTTAGTATTTCAGTGAATAAAATGAAGTAGTTATTAGCTATCAGTGAGTTGTTGGAAAAGTCCAATGTAAAGTTAAATTGTTTTGGAAATAATTGAAGAATCACTCACCAGTTTTCTGATTATAGGCCGATAGTAAACCCCAGTCTGATCCAAATGGCGGGACTAAAGTTGAGGACAAGACCTCAACAGACCCTTCACGTGGATCTCTAGCCGTTGGCGCTTGCATAACTCTTCTTGGTGTTGCTATGGGAGCCCTGTGGATTTGGCTACGATTTTTCCGACATGGAGGCAAGTCCCAAAGAGGAGGGATCAGCCGTGCCAGTGGACAGGTGAGAAAAAATCCCATAGATTCACCTTTTGATCCTCATCCTTCACCGCATTCAGCAGTTCACTCATTCCAGCAGTTAAGAGGTCAAACAAGATGTCTTCATTTTTCTGAAACAAAAAATTACACAAAAAAGTTTTTAAAATAAAAAAAAATATATAAATATGTTCCACTTCAAAATAAATTTAATGAAAAATGTTATCTTGTTTAGCTCTGACTGTGTGTTATATCGAAGAATAATTTTTTCTTTTAATTTTTAATTAATTTGAACAAATTCCCTTTGACCACATTATTTTACCCCTTCTGTAAACACGTAAGATGTTGGGCGGTTTGAATCCATCAACTGACTTGCTGGTGGGTTCCACTTCGCAGTACGGGCCAGTACTCACAGAGGTGCCCAGTCAAATGACAGTCAAGCAGATTGTCAATGACAATCGATCTCTCCCGCTGTCTGATCAGGAGGAGGAGACCTACACCCTAATGGAGGACGCCAGTATCAATTTCAAGAGGAGTGACAATGCACAAGAGAGTAATAATCAGAACACAGGCTGAATTCTCGTTCGCTGAGGCTGAGGAAATCCTTCTTTTTGAATTTCAATTAAATTTTTTCATCTTTCGTGACTTTTTTTTCGATTTTTTCCATTTTCGAATGAGCTAGGATGAAGGTCTTTAACATTAAATCAATATTTTTTTTAACAGATTAATAATGAATTATTAATAAACGTAATTTCATCTGAACTACGATGAAATAATTGTAAAAAAGACTAGAATCTCCTCAAGACTCATGTGCATTACCTTTCCGAAATAATGCGAATGGACACAGAACGAAAAACTCTTCGTCAATCAAGAAATTTGTTTTCTAATACGAAGAATTTTTTTTTCAACATCAGAAGGGTTTTTCTTTCCGTGAAAATCAGTGGATTTCTTGAGAGAATTAAAATAATGTAAATGTAGATTCGCTCACCCTGCAGATGCAACATTACGATGCTTTACATCCCGACGGATATCGAGCAGTTGAAGTAATAACTTGAAAAACTCTTCCTCGATAAAGACATTATATTTTTTTCAATAGATTATAGACGAGCCACAATATTGAAAGAATATTTTCCAAGTGTTTTAATCACTCTCGATGGTTGTCTAAATAATTTTCCGGTTTTTGAGGACAGATTACTGAGTTAAAAGGCAAGTCAGTAAGGAGAAACTGACTTTTAGTATTCGTTTGCGACTTTTTGTGAAAATTGTGAAGAAAAAAAATCTAAAAACTGATTGAAATTCACAGTAATCTGGCCTCAATCGTAGATTTCGTTAATTAGAGAGTAGAAAGCTCTGTGATCCCGTGGAAGCGAGTCATCGCGGCCCAATGCACAACGACGAAAAAAAAATTAAAATTACATTTGAAAAAAATGAAACTGAGGTATCGAACGAAATTCCCCTCGTGTACTGAGTGCGTGCAGTTGACAGTTTTTTAAAATTATTTTTTGATATGATACCGGGAGATAACCAGAACTTCTTTCGAGTTTATTTCATTCCGTCCATTTAAACAAAACTTATACAATTGGGTCGAGCTTAACGAAAATACCTTCCAACTATTTCAATAGTTGCTGAGTTTTCAATTACGGCAATCGCTATTGAACATTATTGTCATTATTTTTAATGTTACGTTGTGGTTAATTTTATTATTGAAGTTATGTACAATTATACCTTGGATATATGAACGCAAATAAAGACTGAGTGAGTGAATGAGAAAGTGCTGTACTTTATCTTACTTATTCCAAATGCCGAGATATATTGGTAATTATCGACTTTAGGAAAAAAAACTGTATAAATAAATCATTTTTTGTTCCATTCTGTTTTACAAAAAATATTTTATCCAACGAATTTATCAATGATTAAGAAAGTGCCAAATTTCACTCACCATTTTCGACTCGAATTTTCCCTCGTTTCTGGTGATAAGCATTGAGGTTACGTCGTCATATGGGTCTGGGGCTCAATGTCCCGCAAGCTCCTCAAGCTGAACAGTATTCCGAAAATCATGAGTAAAAGAAAAGCAAATTTAAGTATTAAAAATAAAACATCTGAGCCCCGAATTGAAATCGAAACAGATCATTCTAGCAATGAGACAGTGTCGAAATATTTTGTTATTGAGTCTCGAAAACCGATTAGAAAACGCACACACATCGAAATAAAATATGAAAACGACCAGAAATCCCCGAAAGATCCCGAAACAAAAAAACGACAATTACCTGAAACCGTTGAAGCTGGAAATCACGATGGAGACAAGTGGGTTCCAAATAACTGGCAAAAGACTCTGGATCTCATAAAAGAAATGAGGAAAGATAATACAGCTCCTGTGGACCAAATGGGTTGTCACAAGTGCTCAGACAAAAAAGCAAGTCCTCCAGTTTTTCGGTTTCAGTCACTTCTAGCCCTGATGCTGAGCAGCCAAACGAAGGATCAGGTCACCCATTCAGCCATGGAGAGACTGAAAAATTATGGATGCACCCCCCACATCCTGCATCAAACACCTGACAATGTCCTGGAGAAATTGATTTATCCTGTATCATTTTACAAGGTGAATATTGCAATTTCACTATATTCTTCAAACAGATGATGATTTCATTTGGATTGTCTCCAGCGTAAAGTCCAGTACATAAAGAATACCTGTGAAGTTCTTCTTCGGGAGTATAAAGGGGACATTCCAGACACCATTGAGGGACTTTGCTCCCTACCAGGGGTCGGTCCCAAGATGGGCCACATCTGCATGCAAGTCGCCTGGAACCAAGTGACAGGAATCGGAGTTGACACCCACGTTCACAGGATCTGCAATCGTCTTAAATGGGTAAAGAAGGAGGCGAAGACTCCAGAGGAGACGAGGAAGCAGTTGGAGGAGTGGCTTCCTAAGGAACTCTGGACTGAACTTAATTATCTGTTCGTTGGATTTGGCCAGGAGATTTGTCTTCCACAGCATCCAAAGTGCGGACAGTGTCTCAATAAAAGTCTCTGTCCATTTGCCAATGCATGAAGCCTCTCATTTTCCACAAAATTACAGTATTACTCATTTCAAATCCAATTATTTGCTGAAAACCAATGGAATTTATGAAGTAAAATGCATATTTTTTCAATTTCTTTGTAATTACCTTGTCTTTAGTCCTAAATCCACAAATTATATGCCTACTATTACAATTATTATTAAATCAAAACAATCAATAAAAAACGAGAGTAGCTCGTTACAAAACAATTTAATTTATAGAAAAATACAAATTTTCTCTACATTTTCTTCATCAATTTTCGTTTAGTTTTGCCTTTGGCCTTCTTCATGGCTCTCTCCTGTTTGAATTGCGCCTTTTTCGCAAGTTTCTTATTTTTCTGACGATCCAATCTTTGTTTTAATTGAAATACTTTACTCCTGTTGGCTTGCTTCAACGTCTCCTTCTGCCTCGCTTTGCTTATGGATTTTTTCGACAATTGGTGATTGGATTTTTCCTTTTCCTTGAGATCCTTGGACTTTCTAGGATTGAGCTCCATCCCCGGGACTTTCTCTCCCTGGTGGCCTTCCTCTTCCTCTTCTTCAGATTCCTCTTCGTATTTCGGTCGATTTTCGCCGATCCAGTTGCAGCTTTGACTCAAATCATTGACATTCAACTCCAATATGCTGACTGTCTTTCCATCTGCTTCGTATTCCGTCTTCTGCAAGAGTTCCTCGAGCTCCGGGACGTCTCGTTGGGACACAAGTGTCTTAAAACGTTCACGAGCCTGAAATAATTATCAATTAGCTTGGTCCTTCATGAATTGAGCTCTGCAATTACCTCTTGTTTAATCCTCTTTTTCTCTTCTTTCAATTTTACTTTCAATTCATCCTGGGCTTTTCGCCTCCTCTGCAGTTTTCTCTTGTGGAAACCACCGAGAAAATCCCTGGGGATTGAGATTTTATTTTTTAATCAATTCTCAAAATATTTTCATTAGTACTCACTTCCTCTTCTCTTCGTCGAAGACTAAAGTTATTTTTTTACGTTTTTTCGGTCTCCCAGGCTGACGAGTCACGTCCAGAAGTTGAGGAACACCTTTTATTCCGGGTTTCATCGCACGGTTTAGTTGTCAAATATTTTTTGAGGTTACCAAGTCACACGTGAGAAAATGGGGTTATGATACCCCTGACCCCGAACAATTCAATATTATTTCGTCGAAAAAATCTACTCGTTGGACTTCCCAAAATATACCGCTAAACTTCAGTTATTTCAATACTAATCGATTTATACAATTATCCATTATTTTATATGATTAATAATAAATGAATAATAGAGTTGATTCATTAAGAAACGATTAATTAATTTGACAATTAAAAATACGAAATTTATCGTAAATTGTTACCTTTGAAAATAATTAAAGCAAAAAATGGCAATATTTTTGGGAAATCTTGTTTTAAAATAATTCGATTTTCAAGCTGTTTTCCGCGGAGTCAATGCGAAAATACCAATTTTATCCTGAAAATTGCATAATAGCACTTCTGACAACTGTAATGTCTAATTTTTATTTTTGTTGGTCCAAATGATAATTTCCTGTTTTGTTCACTTTTTTTGTCTTTTATATTACTTTAATTTTAAAAAAATGGAAAGTAGATTTTGAAATATTTATAAATTCATTTTCTCCATTTCGTATCATAAAAAAATGTAAAGGTAGAGGGAATGGAAATACCTGTAAATATCGAAACTGCTATTCAAAAATGGGCCATCCTTCATAGAAATTCTTGGTGGCCCTAAAAAGGGCCGATTGGTTTTTCAATACGTCTTAAGAGCTACTCTTCTCAGTTTTCTTGGGTAGTAATACAGCTTGGATATTGGGAAGGACGCCACCCTGGGCAATGGTAACTCCCGAAAGTAATTTATTCAATTCCTCATCGTTGCGAATGGCCAATTGCAAATGTCTGGGAATAATCCTGGTCTTTTTATTGTCTCGAGCAGCATTACCTGCCAACTCAAGAACCTCAGCTGCTAAGTATTCCATTACTGCTGCTAAGTAAACTGGAGCTCCAGCGCCAACTCGTTCCGCATAATTTCCTTTGCGTAGAAGACGATGAATACGACCCACTGGAAACTGTAATCCAGCTCTGCTTGAACGAGTCTTAGCTTTGCTCTTTACTTTTCCTCCTTTGCCGCGTCCAGACATCGTAGAAATTCCACTATTTATTCAGCGAGAGTCAGAGGAGAAGTGTGGATGGGGCGGAACTTGCATACCTTATATAGACTTCCTCGTGTGGAGCGCCGAACCAATGGCAACGTCGCTGACTCTGATTGGTGCGCCGCTGCAAACGCCTAATGTATTAAAAGGCCGGCAGTTGCCAGCGAGCTCACATTTTATTTCCCACGCCTGGGAGGTGATTCTATAAATGCCACCTAAGGCCATCAGAAAAGCTGTGAAGAAGGTGGGGAAAGCCCAGAAAAATATAACGAAGAGCGACAATAAGAAGAAGCTTAAAGAAAATCAAATTATGCTATTATTATGCTACATCTACAAAGTCTTAAAGCAAGTCCATCCTGATTGTGGAGTTTATAGCAAGGACATGAGCATGATGACTGATTTTGTTTTTTATTTGTACATTTTATGAAATTATTTCAATGGAAAAAATTATTCAATATATTGAAGATATACCACTAATGACATAATGTTTTCAGAATGAGTGCGTTGTCTCAATGGTAACGTACTTGCCTGCCACGCCGACGGCCCGGGTTCGATCCCGGCGTCATTCATTTTTTTTTTTTTATAAATAATTCCATTTTTAGCTTTTTTAAATGGCTAATCAATTGAAAGATCATTTAAAAACTAAATTTTTAAAAATCGAAAAGATATTCAGTGAAATTTACAAATTAACAATTTTTTAAAACGATACTTTTGCAAAATATATACTCCTAATTAAATTATATTACAGTAATGGTGCGTTATCCTAGTGGTAACGTGCTTGCCTATCACGCCGACGGCCCGGGTTCGATCCCGCCGTCATTCATTTTTTTTTTTATTAAACAATTTCAATTTTATCTTTTTTTAATTGGCTAATCAATCTAAATATCGTTTAAACACTGAATTTTTGAAAAGCGGAAAGATATCCTGTGAAATTGACAAATTAACAATTTTTTAAAACGATACCTTTGCAATATATATACTCCTAATAAAATTTTATTATTGAAATAGCGCGTTATCCTAGTGGTAACGTGCTTGCCTATCACGCCGACGGCCCGGGTTCGAGACCGCCGTCATTCATTTTTTTTTTTTAAATAATTCCAATTTTTTCGTTCGATAGGTATTCACTGCAATTGAAAAATTCGAAATTTTTGTAAAAGTATCAGGAGAACATGACAATCGAGGAGCTCTTCACTGAAATTTTCACTGAAAG